TTTTGTTAAATTATTTTTTATCTCAGGTTGAGGTAGAAAAATACTCGAAAGTGTGAGTTCGGCAATATATGCACTTTCTTTAGAGTAAACAAGTACCACATTTATAAATGGATAACTTGTGAATATATATATATATAAAAAATATCTTGAAATTATAGGCTTTTTTTAGTTGTGTTTGTGACTTTTTATAAATGAGATGAATATAGCATATAGTTACAATGCAGTTCACACAATCCAAATCCTTCAGTATTAATAAAAGATATGGGATAAATGTCAATGAGACAGCAAACCAAACGACATACATACAAACACACCTAGAGGTACATACAGTGTTCAACAATAGACAGGTGTGCATGTATTGTCGCCAACAAAGCTTACAGTTTACATTTAAGGTAACAAACTAATACTTTTGTGACGAATTACATCGCTATTTCTTTGTTTATTAGCTTATTTTTTTACATTTTAAGTTACCTTACTACATCAAAATAAAAATACAAAAATTCATTATAGTAAATTCAATTTTCGGGTAATTTTTTTACATGAAATTAAATGTTGGTGGAATGTGTTAAAGAGTATATTGGCATTCATGCATACAGAATGTGATTTTAAAACATGGAATTCATTCATACAGAATGTGACTTAAAGACTTGTTGAAGAAAACTGTTTGAAAAGTAAAAGTTTTAAGTTGTTTTTTCGATTGTCAAATGAATCTTATTGAAGTCTTCACATTATAAGCTGTAGACGACTTATTTTCTGATCTGAAGTAATTACCAACATAGAAAATATATAAGAAATGTGATTGGATATTTGAATAGACTTGGAATAGAAAGAAAACACCGACTTTGAGTAAATATCGAAAATTTTCAATATTTATCTTTTAAAATAATGACACAAAAAAGGCTATGTTTGCGGCATATGTAAAATTAATGTGTAATTGCTGCATCTGAGTTACAGTATAGATAACCATATTGGATTGTTGTATCTTTGCAGATAACCTTAATTTAATTGATTTAACACATACACTGTACCGCTTTCCGCCTTTTCAAAAATTTTTGTTGAAGAAATAATATAAGAGTTCAGAGAACTTGGTCAACAATTCATTCCCAAGAGTACTTGAATAAACTGCCGTATTTCATACATGTAACACCACTAAAGTAAAAGAAAATAACTACATATGGGCATTTTGTCTTTAACTTCTCAGTAGCCTGATCAAAGACAATTTATTTTTTGTTGCATTGATTTCTGCAGAATAGAAATGTATATTCAAGAACTTCTCACTAGTAAGCGATGACAATAAAACCAAATTTATGGTAGAAAGTCAATATAAAATATCCTGTATGAACTTACACAGAATTTGAATGTACATTTGGAAAAAAAACCATTGAGAAACTGTTTTGTTCAGTTACATGCATTGTATTTTATTCTTTTTAATTTGATCTAGCTTTAGATAGGTTTCAATTCTTTTGTAGAATAGGTGAGAAGATATGTTCGTATTGCTTTGCCGGTTATTGCATGCTAACTTAATAAGATAGTTACATGGGATATCCTGGTTACAAGTTTCATATTCCTGGTTTTCTCCGCCACAGACAGCTCCATCACACAAGGGCAATGGGTCATTACATTGTCTTGTTCTTGTCCTTTGGCCACCATTGCAAGACATTGAACATTGTGTCCATGGTGTCCAATCTGACCAATTGCCATCAACTTAAATCAAAATATAATTACAATAATAAAATAGTGTTTTGTATTATATTACACATTTTCATGAGTGTTCCAACTGAAGTAAGTAATACCCATTTTAAAAAAAGATATCAACTTTTATTTATGCATTTTAAGCAATTTAATTTAAATTGAAGTGTAAATGATTGAGTCAAATGATTTACAGATGTTTTTGTTTGAAAAGGTTTCTATGTTCAAAACTCATTTATAACATCATTAATTGCTTGATTTATTTCAGTGACTGGGCGTGACATAATCGGTTCACTAAGAATAGAACAGTCCAGTTATATACAGATGTTTCTACCACTAAGTGACCACCGTCATCATGTTGACTCTCCTGTCAATGTTTGGTGTGCGCTTGTATACTTAACAAGTCCAAATAATTTATGATGAAGAGAAAAATGAAATTTGTGCTGTACATAACATTTATACATAAAAAACATGGGACTTGAAATGAAATGAGTATGCAGTAGTCTCTTGAACGAGTCAAGACTTTCTTCAGAGGTCACCGTGGCAGGTAAGGTGTTCCAATCTCTTATCGTTTTTGGGTAGAAGGACTCTTTCCTGATACTGGTGTTGCAAGATAGTATTTGGAAAGAGTGAACGTTGGTATGTCTTGATAATCTGTCTTATGGTATAAGCTTGTCACAAGCATCGATCTTAACTTTCTCATTTGAAATTTTATAAAGGAGCGTTAGCTTAGCGTTCTTTCTCCTCTCCTCTAGTGTTGGCCATTTTAGATGTTGTAGCATGGTTTGAACTGATGATGTATGTTATGGTAATTCCAAGATATCTTGCTGATGATACATGTTCAAATGTTGATTTCAATGTTTTGGGATAAACTTATCAAAGAAGTGTCCAGTTAAATATATAAACACTAGATATGTATTTCAAAGTAAATAGTATGATACAGTCGTTAGTTTTCTTGTAAAACGGCACTGCCGTAGGAACTGGGTGCAAGCGGATAACGAGGCACTAACAGAGGTTTTAAAACGTGTCAAAAACACTGCCATATTGTTTAACAAATCACGATAAATATTCGTCTCAAAATTTAAAAGGTTTTAAAGAGAATGCAATATCCAAAAATTCAAAACACGTAAGCTATATAGTACATACAAATGTTTATAAATTTTACACTATTTTATTCGTCCCATATCATACAATCACTTCTTTTGTATTGCTGTTTGATGACACTGATAGGCGATTGGAAATCAGTAATATTGATTATAACGCAATCATCCTTATCACAAACGATTGCAAATTAAAAGGTTAACTCCGCCCGATCAGTGGAAAACAATTGATAATACTAGATATCAAATGTTTTCTCTTTCTTGTTGAGAATGTAATCAGTAGCTATTACAATAATCTGGAACAGGCAATGAACCTGACAGAAATAAAACTCAGTTTACATTCATATCCTTACCATTAGTGTCCGGATCTTTCAAACATTGAGCTCCTTCCTTGTAACAGTAACTGTAGAAAATAAGCATATCGTGTTTTAAAATCAGACTTTTATTTTTCTTTCATTATAACTTTGTACCATATGCTTAACTTATCAAAATTATTACGCAACTTAGCATGCATGATATACCAAATATGATTTGTGCTGCAAAATTATTTCAGTTACTCTTTTCTTATAATTTGTTTTTATTTGCATGGAAATTAATGAGACATGTCAAGATTTTCGCGAATAATTTGCCAAGAAGAAAGAAGAAAATCATATTTTTTGGGATGTAAAAAATATTTGGCACAGTAACATTTTGTGACTTCATGTGTTGAAATTATTTTTTTGATTAAACAAATTTGAATTTTATAACCCAAAAAATTAGAATATTAACAATAAATAAATGTTGAATTCTGAACTGGGCAAATGAAAACACCAATCAATTAATTTGATGTGATCTATGAATTTCAAAATATCATGCATGTCATGACTTTTAGCTATGCGTTTTGTATCGTACAGATTGAAACCAATACAATATAAAAATAGTACAAGAGAATGGACTCGTTAAAAACTTTTATGATTCATTCAAAGTCAGAAAAACATCAATATATACTAGAAACTAACATGTTAGAATAATGCAATCTTAGCTTCACTGGTTCAGTATTACTATATTGACAAATTACGTTAAGGCTAATTATTCATTTTACATATAAAGTTGACTTTCCCATTAAATACCAGTCATGTGAGTTTTTTTTGTGTGTGTAGTCCCTAGACCAGAAACCTTTAGGAGATGATTTAGATAAATATATTTTTCTATCAAAATGATAGTTACACTACTTTAAGAATGTATTTACCATTTAATACATCCTCCATTCTGGACACGTACAAGATCTCCGACACCATAGGACGCACCATCAACTTCACAGACATGACATTCTGTTGTATTTTTAGGTGCACAGCTATCCGTTTCTACAGAATTACCACACAGTTCAGATTCCCCAACAATTAAATCTCTATAAATAATTAGAATTCAATGAATACACTTAGCAAATCTAAGATTGAGATTTTACTCCTTATATATAAATCATCTTTAACTCACCTAGAAAACAGGCGTTTTCACAATTTTGATTATATCGCTGTTACAAAATTGTAGTTATTGCGTTCACAAAGTATTGTCAAATCACACAAAAAGCTTGTCAAGAGAAGACCAGAGGCTATAACTCTGCAACAGCGCTATCAAAAATAGAAAAATAAAAGCGAATTTGGTAAGTTTTTAATGGTTAATACCAAATATTAAAATTTCTAAGCTTTATATGGATAAAAAAGCTCACAAACAAAAACTGGAGCTCACCACCCAGTTTCCAACGATGTGGATGAACTTCATATATGGGCTTACTTATGGGGACATATTGTTTTATTCCTTCCAATAAGTACACAAACAGTGACCAAAAAGGTGAAACTGAAAACAATGAAATTGGTGTATGCAGTCTTAAGTTTCAGGATGTCTTGTTGTATTACAGCCCTCTCTGTCGTTCTTCACTGAAAGGATCAATAACACCATTTAATTTGACAACTGTGCCATCTTAATTTTCACAAAATGAGGTAGAATTGTTTGGCCTTTGTTTTGACAAATGAGCTATTGAAAGCAAGCAAGACGATGAGGGACAATTCTTTTTATAATACTCAAGCTTCAGTCATCATGACGGTTGCTGAATAAGCAGAAATTTACACACCAAGATTAAAAAAATCATAATTGTTTTTACATACAAGTCTGCTCATGTTGTAATTGATATTCATAATTACTTCAAGGTATATTGAATTCTAACCTGTATCTTCTCTTTACCCCTGACTCGCAATTGCTATCACATTCTCCCCAGCTGGTCCATTCTTTCCATTCACAACCTGCAATGTTTCATTCAAATTAAATAGACATGTTTGTCTCATCCTGATTAATGAATAAGTACACTATAATGCAGGGTTTTATTTGCGCTGTATTTTATAGTTAAAAAGATAATTCGTTACAGCCAAGGTTATTGGAGATTTTAACAAGGGTAGCACTATTTGTAACGAACGTTAGCGAGTGGTAAACATTTTTGAAATAATGCATTACCGGTGTTAAAATCAAACCATGACTTACTTCGATCATAATTGGAAAACTAGAAAACGTTTGCGTCCAAAGCGGTTTCATAAGACACGTTAGAAAAAAATCGTTATGTTTTATAGGAAAACTTCCTAAAAAACAAACCGTTTCATGATTTTAAATTGTAAAAATACCAACAACAGCTGTAGCTGTAAAAGAGGTTTATGCGCACGGAAAAATATTTTGTGCCTGTACTAGTACTAAGTGAGGCTATCTGGACCATTTGGTGATCATTGGATGTTGCCTTTTGTATATCTTTTTTTATTTATAGGAGTCATGTGTTGAAGATTGTACTGTGTGGTATTTTTGGCGATTCTTGTTATTATTTTATATGTATTTTACATAAAGAAAGAAATGTCCAATATGATTTCCAGCTTCGTAACAAATACACACGAACATAAATTTGTTTACAGCTATTGACGAAAATATTCAGCATTTGATATTGTTATTTGCTTTCTTTTTTTAGAAAGTCAGTAGAATATATTTACTATAACGTATGTTTTTCTAATTTAGAATATAAAAATACAGAGATATTGAAAAACAAATCAAAACAGTAACCAAGACAAATAAGAGGTATCTTTTCTTGACATAGGTATGAACACATCATTAGGAGCTTCAATGCTCGCTCTTGTTTTATATCCAACAACATACCCTACCGATTTTATATTTCTTGTTGCATTTTATCATGTTTGAACCGATACAGAAGGCGTTTCATTAACTTGCAAAATAAAAATTCATTTTCAAACATTTTGTTTTGCTTGAACATCCTTTGCAGTCAATATCTTTGTTTGATAATTTTCCTGACTACAGAAAATTATATAGACCTAAATATTTATGAAACTCGAGCATAACAACTTATCTCCCTTCATAAGAATACCTTGCAAGTAAAGTTTCCTCAGAGTTCACGCAAAATGTCACCTAAAACTTGTATGCATATACTAAAAAATATGTCGAAAACATTTCAATAAGTGACTGATCACTGATAGAAAAACCATAAAGATAGTTTAATCAACGAAAACAAAAAATAACAAATACAACGGGCATGAAAAATTGGAACTAGCAATCTTCAGGAAAAAGTGGTTCAATGCCACAGAAAGATTAACCATAGAGTGAAGCATGATTGTTCAATTGAAATTACGTAAAAGCATACAAACTTGAATCATTATCAACCGAAAGTGACCTTAATGGACGACAAAGTTATTCTTATTACTTAGTCAAAAGATGGAAGAAAAATTAACAAAAAAGATCTAACCCGTATTAGACGACTTACATTCTGGTATTGTTTCACATGTGACATTTCCTGGTCCATTACAAGTGCTGACAAAGAAATTAAACATACATTATTTGAAATTCAATTAAAACTCAAGTTATATTAAAGTAGTAAAATGCTATTCACATATCATTACATTACAATACCCAAACTATTTTTAGTTGTAATAATTAGATAGCCATTAAAAGCGTGGTTATATCTCGAATACGAAATTTAATAAAGATAAATAATAAATAAATATACAAGTGAAGATTTAACCCAAGTAACAGAAAAACACTGTGATTTTAACAAAACTGAAATGAGGTTTGGTAAGACATGAAGTTGTATGCATTATCAATTCGAATTGTTAAATAATAGTAAAATGGATTGATTTACCATTTCTGACAAGGTGAAGGTCCTGGGAATGACATTCCAATATTAACTGGTACCCCCGTCAGATTTGTAGCAGACACAGTTCTCTACAGGAACACAGTCGTCAGTGGCTTCATCAATAACATATCCCTCTTTACAACCACACCTTGGTTCAAAGTCTTCATCTTCAGAACAAGTTTCAGGATATTGTAAGGTAAAGCATGACATCTCACATCTAGGTTCTTTCAATAAGATTCTTGGATCCTTACATTCTGAAACCACAAATTCTGATTGATTTCTAGGATAAGCTGGTGAAAGATGAATGAACTAACTCGATCACAAAAGTGATCAAACATTTCGGTTGAATAAATAATATCACCAGAGAAATAAATAAAAAATATCTTTTAAATCATTAAAGATACAAGGCTTATAAATTAGTCAGATGCGCATTTCGTCTAGATAAAACCCATCAATTGCGATCGAATCAAAACAGTTGGAAAGTCAAATCATATATAAAGCTGAACAAATCTATAGCCAACAATTCCTAATAGTTGTGCCAAATAACAAAGACAATCTATGCGTGGTGATAGAAAAAAAAACTTGATGTTTGGAAAAATTCAACATTTTATTAACAGTAAAGCAGACCATGAACATATCAATTATATATTTCATGTAAAAAAACGCAAATGGCAAAATCTTAGGTACCTTATCATAGAATTTGTACCTCGTGATTTCGGCCCTTTTGGTTAAACTACTTCACTTAGTTTTAGACTAAAAAATATAAATTATATCAAATTTGCAGATAAACAAGTCTTTTTCCGTCTTGGATCTAAAACTAACGTGTATTTGGCGGATATTTTCAAATATGTTGTGTAATTATACGGAAAAATGCTTAAAATTTGACTATTTACGAAATGGGAAGTTTGAAATCATCATGTTTTTAAAAGTATTTGGCCGAAAAATCAAGAAAACAAATATATTTCGTCCTGAAAAGGCAATATGGTCGATATGCAAATAAGTAAAGCATTCAAATTTTGCCATATTGAAAAAAAAAGCTTTGTTTGACAATGTCGTTCGGTTTTATCTCTTCAGGGACGTAACGGGTATACGACTAAGGTGATCCCTGAATCCATAAGCGACCAAAAGCACAAAGGTTTTTGTATTTTATTTTTTTAATTTGTGACAAAAAAGGTAGATAATGAAATAGTATCAAAACATTGCATGTTGGTTTATATATCTGGAATAATATGTGTTTCATCCTTTCAAAGTAAAACGTAAAAAAGTATAAATATAATATTCATACAAATTCCTTGTGTTGAAAAATCCAGGATAGCTTTCATTGGCAACCGTATTGTTTTGTTAATAGTTAATATAATGTTTGCGTAGGGGACAAATAATTAAATGTACTTTTTTCTATTCTAACACAATATTCAAGATATTAGAAACCATGTTACATACAAGGTATTTTTACTTCTGCAAATTCTATAAGTATGTATATAGTAATAATGTGTTAAACTGTATTTAGGGGCGGATTCAGGCGGGGGACGTGGCGGGAGTGCACCCCCTAAAATTTGCAAAGCATGGGTTGTCCTCAGCTTAATAAATAATATTTCGATAATTTTACCTCAAAAAAATTTAATTTGCGCCCCCCACCTAAAATCAGGGATCCGCCTCTGATTATATGGGTCCTAACATTTTCTTTAACAACAAAATAACATCTCTTGTAATATATTGCAAGTAAACCAACAATTTACTTGTAAGTATAAATAAAATCTGACAATTTTTACTGTATACACATTCCAAAAAGATATGTGATAAACCATCTTTCATTGCCAAAAGTGTTCATTAAATCAGCATTTTTAAAGATAATTCTATGCAACAGCTTTAAATGAAAATCTCGACTTTTTTTTATTTAGTTACTCGAAATAAAGTGACATGAATTTACCTCTACTTATCTATTTTAACACTCCTTGAATCATTCCCTTTTTTGCACTGAAAGACTTTCTTATATATTTTAAGAAATAATTTATACTATTTACATAAATCTTTTAGGAATTGCACTGACACACTATTCTACAAAACTAGTACAAACTGTATCCCGAGATAAGAACTGTTTAAAAGTCAAGGTGTTTTTATCTTCGACTTAAATAAGATCATTTATAAAAAATACATCCTAATTACAATATTTCTGATAAAAAATGAATTTCCTATTATTTAATATTATAATTCAACCAAATTAGTTAACTCAAAATGTATATGCGGTTCTTTCATTTCCAAACTTAACTGTCATCAATTTTGAAAGATTACAATTTCAAAACCCTATTCCTACAAATGCAAAATTGTATTGCCCAAATATTTATTTTGATTAACCACAAATCTGAAATCATTAAGTTTTGGTTCTTCCATGTTTCCTGACACTGTAGACTTTACGAATGTCGTCCAAGTATTAATACACATAACTTAGACATATTGCGCGGTTTGATTATCTCATTTTAATCGTTTAACTTAATCAATATATGAAAAATGCAAATGTTACAATTTGAATCGTTATGCGCCAAAAATAATTGCATTTGTTTTTTTCATTGAAATTTGAACTATTTTGGATTCCCTTGTATGTCTAAAAGCAACCATCTTTTAATTATATCTAGAATTAGGCTTTTTCGCTCTTGAGTAATTAGGCTAAACTGTTCATTAAAATTTTTCTGAAAAAAGAAACATTCAAATAAAGTATCACAAACATCGATAACATTTACTTCAAACCAATTACATGTATACTCCTTTCAAAGAAGTAAAACGAACAAAACAACTGCTAGCAATGGTCGATGACCATTCAAAGAATAAACGTACCTAGAACTTCAGGACAGTCATTTGAACAGCTAAGAATTTCCTTATCTATTTTACCAGTACAGTTTCTTTGTCTGGACTTTGTACCTTCTATACATGTTTGGTCGTTTGTGCCCACACTACACTCCGTCCAATCGTCCCAAGCACTACAAAGTTCCACGGTAGCTATTGATAAACAATAAAAACTCTAATTAATTGTCATTAACTCTCTGACGTTGGAATTTTTAAACCTACAATTATTTAAAACAATGATGATCAATAGTTACTGACGCCGGTTGCATCAAGCAACCCCTGCGATCAGTTCTATATTTTTCGAATTGCGGATGTTTGAACTTTTAGCCTACCTATTTCAAACCTGTTTTCTTAAATTTTTTGTTTTGATATTTTCTTACAATTTGACTTAAATTCAATTGTTATGCTGTTTTTGAATAACCTTGAATCCAAGTTCCTGTCGTTTCGGATTGGTCATCTGAACTTGTTGCATTCGCTTTTATTCAATCCAGTGCCAACAACGTGGTTACAACAAGCCAGTTTAACTAACTTTTTCATGAAGTCAGTTGTTTAGACATTGACACCACGTCTTTCATTGTAGCTAAAATTAGTTTGTAGTGGATAATTTGCAACAAAGACTTATTTGTTCGTACAGGAATCTGATCCAAATTAAAAAAATAACAAATCTAATTTCCAATAATGTCTCATATAAGAAACAAAGAACAAAAATGATGCAACCTTAATCACAAATTAATAACAGTGTACTAGGCATAGGACAATTGCCAATGTTACAATCTGTACTTACTTGGCATAGGACAATTGTCAATGTTACAATCTTGAGTCTGCACCAGGTCGTCTGGGCACTTTTCAGGAGTCATCAATGATAGCTTGGTTCGACTTCTAGACATTGATCCGACATCACAATCCCTTGAACATGGAGACCATTCTCCCCAATTTGAATATTTGCATTCTAAAAAATAAAAAGTATGCACTATTCAGTAAAATAGAATTGATTGAAAGAGAACATTTCAACGGATTTGATATCCTGCAGAGATAAAATTATGTTTTGCTTGCACAATTTGCTCGCAAATTAAAAAGTGAAATGTTCATGTCATGACTTAAGTTAAACTATATGTACCTTTGCACTCTCCAATTACACATCTAATCATTCCACTACCTTCACAAGTACTGAAAATACAAATTGGAATTAAATGTTATTGCGCAATTGCGTCGATGGAATATTCACGTGGTCACATGTAGCGCAGATAATTCGTAAGGGTCTACGAAGTTATCATGGTATCCCTACGATTTCCAAATATATGAATCAATCTTTTATATTCACGACTCCTGCTGTATAGAATGGGGGTTATTCATTCCAAAGACTTGAATACATGCGCAACAAAGGAAGCATATATTATTTCAGGAGGTTTGGTTGATCTTTCAGCATATTTATTGAAATCCTGTGTTTGTTTTGTGCAATTGAGAATACCATGCTATCTATAAATGGATTAACTACTGATTAAGAAGATCTCATCATTCTAAAAATGTTATTCTTTACTTTTTGAACCTTATAATCTACTGTTATGAAACAACATTCCAGGTTAATCAACTTTCCTAATTACGAACATGGTAATAGTAAATACAAAATAATATTTGCACGAGTCTCCACTCACAAGAGACATGTTTTCGTCGCGCTATTGGATCATAAGACTACAGAATAGTTACCGATTAAAAAATGTGATAGGAAATACCGATTGTATTATATTCCTTATTGGGATATTTTATTGAGTTTTGGTTATGCATTAATAACAGGAGAATCTTACCCGAAGGATGCAACCATTTTCGTTCCATCTAGAGTTCTTGCTATACCCCTTGTTTTTCCTTTAGTTTGTGTATTCAAAATGAATTTATAGATTTTTAACATCGATTTACTAATGTTCACACTATTAATGTTCTGAGTTTCAAAGAGTACGTATTGCTAAACTTTCGTGGTTGTCCTGTTTTAGTTTACTGTGTTTTATACTGTGGTAACTTATTTTATTAATTAGTTTCATATTATACTGAGACATTTGATATTTATAAATATAGGAGTGTCTATATTCTGCACACATGCACTTACGAGCATTACCGATTTATTCAGAATGCAAATAATACTGAAAAGGAATGTTTGAAAAAACACTCATATCATTTTTTTTTCAGTAGAATGTAAAGTAAAAGTATTATTGAAAATAAGGTCGGAAGAGGTATGAGTGTTTGTGAAATATTGTTTTACATACATTTACATCAATCAGGCCGTTAGTTTTCTCGTTTGATTTGTTTTAAATTTGTCAATACGGGACCATTTGTAGCTTAATATGCGGTATGGTTTTTGCTCATTGTTGAATGCTGAAAGGTGACTTATAGTTGTTAACTTCTATATCATTTGATCTCTGTTGGAAAGTTGTCTCATTGGCAGTCATACCACATCTCCTATTTTTATATTTATACATTAATTTGAATAAATTTACCAGTTACTACAGCCAACAACAACAACAACACCTGCATCAATCGACGAATCAATGTAAACCTTTTCTTCCTCGGATGTTATCCCTGCAGTGTCATCTTTCTCAATGAATCCAACAAGTCCAATTTGTTCATATCCAAAATTATCAACAAATTTGTCTTGTGAAAATTGGCAGTAACCTAGAAAGTATCAAGTTATAAAGAAACGCCATTAGCAATATCATATAAATAACTTTTAAAAATGATAACATAATGTTGCAGTAGTGTGATAAATATTTATTTCAAAGGTGTGTTTTTAAATATAAAAGAATGAAACATTGACATTCGTATCCAGTATTGTCGTTGTTGAAATATTGGAGGGGTTATCAAATAATCTTTTGATCAATTATGTTTCAAAAAGAAAAGAAATGCAGTACCTACACATAGACATACGAATTGATTGTAAAGTACATTGCAACACAAAACTGTATAAACAACGGGATAATTATATTTTGATAATAATGAATTTTTCATTTTCTGTCTTTTGATATACCTGGAGTTGTAGTTGGGGCTGATGTTGTAGAGGATGGTCCAGATGTAATACTCGGTGATGATGAAGCTGCTGTGGTCGGTTTTCCTGTGGTCACAGCTATAGGAAAAAGCCCAACATTAATACAGTTTTCATAAAAAACATATAACTAATTAACAATTTTCATTTTCGTCTATACATTAAGATGGCAGTTTTGCTCCCAGTAATAAGGTCAGAGTACCATGATAAAGTACTTGCACTGGCCAAGATGAAGTGAGTCTTTTTGTCAGTAATGAAATGAAAATAGCACTGTATAAATTTGGTTCGATTGAAGCACTTTTCTTTATTAACCTTCATAAGAAAGGATAAGCATTAATATGTGAAAGCCATTTTAATACACAATGACAAAGTAAGGCAACACATAGGTGATGTTCATTTAGTAATCCTTATTCCACATCCTTCCAGATTAGAAAGTGCTTTCCATTTAAAAAGTTTGACTTATTACGTTGCAAAATAAAATGTTTTACGGACATGATATGCATAACTTTAAACAGGTTAGGTGTAGCATGGTCATAAAGGTTTAACAAAATATGTTCGATTGGACCCTATGTAACATTCGTGTAACTTAGTATTTCATCCTTATGAGCATAAAATTACTTTTATGGACGGCCACTTATTTACAATATCGATAAAGTTTAAAAAAAAACATTCACAAATTGATTTTGAAACATATGCATCAAATGGGCCCAAGGGTGAATAAAACAGAACTGGAAGGAGCAATAAGTTATCACATGGACTGTAGCTATAAAGTGATTGCAATATTGGTCAAACGCTTTGAGGATAATGAAAAACCAAATCTCACTTAAATATTTATTTCAAATTGTTGTGTTGTATCAATATTTATATATAAGTTTTAATCATACGCCCTCGATATGTCACAATAAGGAGATTATGTATTTGATATGGATGAATGTTTAAGTAAAATGCGGAGTATTATCAAGCCTACGCTGAAATTGATTATTACATTATCCTTTGTAATTTATATTAATGAATTTAAGATTTTCTGACTTTAAAAAATACCTGCAGTTGTAGAAGCGGGTCCAGTGGTTACCGACGGTTGAGTTGTTTGAATCAAAGGTGGACTGGTTCCTGGTGCTCCAGCTTGAGTACCTGTAGTTGGGGATGACGCTGTAGAAGGTGTTCCAGAGGTAATCACTGGAGACGATGTAGGTGTTGTGGCTGGTTGTCCTGTGGTCACAGCTACAGAAAACATCACTATCATCACAGGCTTAGTACATTTATTTTAACACATATATAACTGAATAAAATTGTCAATATCATCTATACATTAAGATGTCGATTTTGTCCTCCACTAATGAAGCAAAAATATAATAATCAAGTAAAAGGGAACATATGGGATTGTTTTGCAGTGTTCAAATTCAAGATGACATGAAAGTTGTTTTGTTGGTCATATATATGAAAATAACAGAAAATCAATTTTGTCCGACCGAGCGCTTTTTTCAGTAGCCTTCATCATGAACGCTCAAACCTCAACATATTCAATCCATGTCTACAAGCAATCACAAATTAAGACAAAACATTCATAGTTATATTCAATAAAAAAGGATTTAAAGATAAAATTGTTCATACTCTTTTTTCAATACATATGAATGGATTTAATATGGCATATATAAGATTATATGCATTTTAACATATTGGTTATAATTCTATCGCGTTTTACGGAGCAGTTTATCAAATCTAAATGTTAATTTGAATGTAAAGTACAACAAAATTAGTTACCTTTAATACAAGCCTCCACGGTGACACTTTTTACAACCGGAGTTGCATTAGGTGTTTGGTCAGGTACTATCGTCAATGTTATCTTGTCAGCCAACAAAGGTTTGATCAATTCCAGTTCTACGATGCCATTTGGTTGTGCCTGTTGAAATACATAGCCTTCTGAATGTATGAATGTGTCTATTATGGAGTACTATATTGCATTGTATAGTGTCATTTAATGGGTATCTTTACCTTAAACGGTGTAACCAACATCCACAGTACTTAGTATTGACAGACGACTATAGTCTTAATGCAACGTTTCATTACTAAAATATAATTGTAATCAAAGACTAATGTTCATGTCTTTACGAAAAGAATCATAATCCCCTAAACAACGACACTAGAGTACAATGTAACGTAATTTGTAAACATTCTTTGGTTATACTAGAATTTCAGAACTGCTTTTCGTGCGTTTCGTAGTTAGTAAATTGAAGTTGTCTTCTTTTTCATTAATACTACAATCAGATGATAATAATAAAATATCATACCTTGACAGTCTCCTCATAAACTAAAACGTTGTCATTATAAAGTTTGATAACAATACTGTCAACAAATTCTGTTTCTAGAGGAACATTCATTATCGGATTACTGTCACTTGTTGATAACTCTAAAACTGGCCTTTCGTCTTCAGCTGACGGTTTCCATCCTGAAGGTGTTAAAGCGTTTTCAGCACCATCTGGATTCGATGAAGAAGTCACAGTTTCAAAATTTAATGGGCCCTTTGACGTATCGTCTGGACATTTTCCCAAACCTATAAATTCAAAAAGCAATAGTATAAATTAGAATACAAGGAAAGTAACGTCAAAGGATAATGCCAGTTTCCTTTCATTCTTCCTTAAAAACTCCTGTATACAGTCAGCCTCATATGATTAAAGATACAAGTCGGCAAAAAGAGCCGCACAGTTGGTTCCTATGGGAATGCCGATTGTTAGTTGAAATACACGTCTTCCAAACGTAACAATTATGTTGTCAATCAAGACATCAAACATCTCGATAATATCAGTTTCAGAGAATTTCTTGTTTGAATCAGAGTGATTTTTTTACAAAGTACGATTTATTCCTCTTTTAGACAAGACACTTGTACCTATGTTGGCCTTTCTTTCTTAATAACAAAATAGGATCAACTCTTTCAATTTGCCTTTTAGTTTGGAATGGGAAATACTTGTGTAAAGTATAGAAAATTAAAATATCTTAATACTATTTGCAAGACGAAATAGTCTTAGATTGTATGTTCTCTAACAGATCTTTAAACTTTTTTTAGCATCTGTATATGATTCACACCTACTCTCGAATAGGTAGTTTTACAATAAATTTGAAGCCCGGTTTTGGTTGCTGAATAAATTGATGTTAATAATTTAGAAAGAGGTTTTGTGGAGTACTTGGAAGACCCAGTAATATAACTTTGTTTGTAAGGACACTTGAGCAATTTAGGTATTTAATACAGTTAAGGAAGATCACGTTCCGCATCTTTGGTTGAAATTCAAAAGAAACATACAAAAGACCCTATAATTATACAAGACGTCCTCCTTGGTTAGTGTCGTTGGGGTAAATGTTGAGTTTCCAAGTGAAATGTCAATCCCTAGTTCATTTATCAAGCAGTTTATGTAATGTAATTTACATAAAAAACGATGTTCATTGGGGCTTTATCTGCAGGACAACAACGTATTTGTCATGTAGAACAACAACGATAATGAATTTCAGATTTTCTGACTTTAAAAAATACCTGCAGTTGTAGAAGCGGGTCCAGTGGTTACCGACGGTTGAGTTGTTTGAATCAAAGGTGGACTTGTTCCTGGTGCTCCAGCTTGAGTACCTGTAGTTGGGGTTGACGCTGTAGAAGGTGTTCCAGAGGTAATCACTGGAGACGATGTAGGTGTTGTGGCTGGTTGTCCTGTGGTCACAGCTACAGAAAACATCACTATCATCACAGGCTTAATACATTTATTTTAACACATATATAACTGAATAAAATTGTCAATATCATCTATACATTAAGATGTCGATTTTGTCCTCCACTAATGAAGCAAAAATATAATAATCAAGTAAAAGGGAACATATGGGATTGTTTTGCAGTGTTCAAATTCAAGATGACATGAAAGTTCTTTTGTTTGTCATATATATGAAAATAACAGAAAATCAGTTTTATCCGACCGAGCGCTTTTTTCAGTAGCCTTCATCATGAACGCTCAAACCTCAACATATTCAATCCATGTCTACAAGCAATCACAAATTAAGACAAAACATTCATAGTTATATTCAATAAAAAAGGATTTAAAGATAAAATTGTTCATACTCTTTTGTCAATACATATGAATGGATATAATATGGCATATATAAGATTATATGCATTTTAACATATTGGTTATAATTCTATCGGGTTTTACGGAGCAGTTTATCAAATATAATGGTTAATTTGAATGTACAGTACAACAAAATTAGTTACCTTTAATACAAGCCTCAACGGTGACACTTTTTAAAACCGGAGTTGCATTAGGTGTTTGGTCAGGTATTATCGTCAATGTTATCTTGTCAGCCAACAGAGGTTTGATCAATTCCAGTTCTACGATGCCATTTGGTTGTGCCTGTTGAAATACATAGCCTTCTGAATGTATGAATGTGTCTATTATGGAGTACTATATTGCATTGTATAGTGTCATTTAATGGGTATCTTTACCTTAAATGGTGTAACCTATATACACAGTGCTTAGTATTGACAGACGACTATAGTCTTAATGCAACGTTTCATTACTAAAATATAATTGTAATCAAAGACTAATGTTCATGTCTTTACGAAAAGAATCATAATCCCCTAAACAACGACACTAGAGTACAATGTAACGTAATTTGTAAACATTCTTTGGTTATACTAGAATTTCAGAACTGCTTTTCGTGTGTTTCGTAATTAATAAATTGAAGTTGTCTTCTTTTTCATTAATATTACAATCAGATGATAATAATAAAATATTATACCTTGACAGTCTCCTCATAAACTAAAACGTTGTCATTATAAAGTTTGACAACAATACTGTCAACAAATTCTGTTTCTAGAGCAACATTCATTATCGGATTACTGTCACTTGTTGATAACTCTAAAACTGGCTTTTCGTCTTCAGCTGACGGTTTCCATCCTGAAGGTGTTAAAGCGTTTTCAGCACCATCTGGATTCGATGAAGAAGTCACAGTTTCAAAATTTAATGGGCCCTTTGGCGTATCGTCTGGACATTTTCCCAAACCTATAAATTCAAAAAGCAATAGTATAAATTAGAATACAAGGAAAGTGAAGTCAAGGGATAATGGCAGCTTCCTTTCATTCTTCCTTAAAAACTGCTGTATACAGTCAGCCTCATATGATTAAAGATACAAGTCGGGAAAAAGAGCCACACAGTTGGTTCCTATGGGAATGCCGATTGTTAGTTGAAATACACGTCTTCCAAACGTAACAATTATGTTGTCAATCAAGACATCAAACATCTCGATAATATCAGTTTCAGAGAATTTCTTGTTTGAATCAGAGTGATTTTTTTACAAAGTACGATTTATCCCTCCCTAAGACAAGACACTTGTACCTATGTTGGCCTTTCTTTCTTATGAAACAAAGTAGGATCAATTCTTTCAATTTGCCTTTTAGTTTGGAATGGGAAATACTTGTGTAAAGTAAAGAAAATTAAAATATCTTAATACTATTTGCAAGACGAAATAGTCTTAGATTGTGTGTTCTCTAACAGATCTTTAAACCTTTTTAGCATCTGTATATGATTCACACCTACTCTAGAATAGGTAGTTTTACAATAAATTTGAAGCCTGGCTTTGGTTGCTGAATAAATTGATGTTATAATTTAGAAAGAGGTTTTGTGGAGTATTTGGAAGACCCAGTAATATAACGTTGTTTGTAAGGACACTTATTCAATTTAGGTATTTAATACAGTTAAGGAAGATCAAGTTCCGCATCTTTGGTTGAAATTCAAAAGAAACCTACAAAAGACCCTATAATTATACAAGACGTCCTCCTTGGTTAGTGTCGTTGGGGTAAATGTTGAGTTTCCAAGTGAAATGCCAATCCCTAGTTCATAAATCAAGCAGTTTATGTAATGTAATTTACACATAAAAACGATGTTCATTGGGGCTTTATCTGCAGGACAACAACGTATTTGTCATGTAGAACAACAACGATAATGAATTTCAGATTTTCTGACTTTAAAAAATACCTGCAGTTGTAGAAGCGGGTCCAGTGGTTACCGACGGTTGAGTTGTTTGAATCAAAGGTGGACTGGTTCCTGGTGCTCCAGCTTGAGTACCTGTAGTTGGGGTTGACGCTGTAGAAGGTGTTCCAGAGGTAATCACTGGAGACGATGTAGGTGTTGTGGCTGGTTGTCCTGTGGTCACAGCTACAGAAAACATCACTATCATCACAGGCTTAATACATTTATTTTAACACATATATAACTGAATAAAATTGTCAATATCATCTATACATTAAGATGTCGATTTTGTCCTCCACTAATGAAGCAAAAATATAATAATCAAGTAAAAGGGAACATATGGGATTGTTTTGCAGTGTTCAATTCAAGATGACATGAAAGTTGTTTTGTTGGTCATATATATGAAAATAACAGAAAATCAGTTTTGTCCGACCTAGCACGTTTTTCAGTAGCCTTCATAGTGAACGCTCAAACCTCAACATATTCAATCCATGTCTACAAGCAATCACAAATTAAGACATAACATTGATGGTTATATTCAATAAAAAAGGATTTAAAGATAAAATTGTTCATACTCTTTTGTCAATACATATGAATGAATATATTATGGCAAATATAAGATTATATGCATTTTAACATATTGGTTATAATTCTATCGGGTTTTACCGAGCAGTTTATCAAATCTAATGGTTAATTTGAATGTACAGTACAACAAAATTAGTTACCTTTAATACAAGCCTCAACGGTGACACTTTTTAAAACCGGAGTTGCATTAGGTGTTTGGTCAGGTATTATCGTCAATGTTATCTTGTCAGCCAACAGAGGTTTGATCAATTCCAGTTCTACGATGCCATTTGGTTGTGCCTGTTGAAATACATAGCCTTCTGAATGTATGAATGTGTCTATTATGGAGTACTATATTGCATTGTATAGTGTCATTTAATGGGTATCTTTACCTTAAATGGTGTAACCTATATACACAGTGCTTAGTATTGACAGACGACTATAGTCTTAATGCAACGTTTCATTACTAAAATATAATTGTAATCAAAGACTAATGTTCATGTCTTTACGAAAAGAATCATAATCCCCTAAACAACGACACTAGAGTACAATGTAACGTAATTTGTAAACATTCTTTGGTTATACTAGAATTTCAGAACTGCTTTTCGTGTGTTTCGTAGTTAATAAATTGAAGTTGTCTTCTTTTTCATCAATATTACAATCAGATGATAATAATAAAATATTATACCTTGACAGTCTCCTCATAAACTAAAACGTTGTCATTATAAAGTTTGACAACAATACTGTCAACAAATTCTGTTTCTAGAGCAACATTCATTATCGGATTACTGTCACTTGTTGATAACTCTAAAACTGGCTTTTCGTCTTCAGCTGACGGTTTCCATCCTGAAGATGTTAAAGCGTTTTCAGCACCATCTTGATTCGATGAAGAAGTCACAGTTTCAAAATTTAATGGGCCCTTTGGCGTATCGTCTGGACATTTTCCCAAACCTATAAATTCAAAAAGCAATAGTATAAATTAGAATACAAGGAAAGTGAAGTCAAGGGATAATGGCAGCTTCCTTTCATTCTTCCTTAAAAACTGCTGTATACAGTCAGCCTCATATGATTAAAGATACAAGTCGGCAAAAAGAGCCACACAGTTGGTTCCTATGGGAATGCCGATTGTTAGTTGAAATACACGTCTTCCAAACGTAACAATTATGTTGTCAATCAAGACATCAAACATCTCGATAATATCAGTTTCAGAGAATTTCTTGTTTGAATCAGAGTGATTTTTTTACAAAGTACGATTTATCCCTCCCTAAGACAAGACACTTGTACCTATGTTGGCCTTTCTTTCTTAATAACAAAATAGGATCAACTCTTTCAATTTGCCTTTTAGTTTGGAATGGGAAATACTTGTTTAAAGTAAAGAAAATTAAAATATCTTAATACTATTTGCAAGACGAAATAGTCTTAGATTGTGTGTTCTCTAACAGATCTTTAAACCTTTTTAGCATCTGTATATGATTCACACCTACTCTAGAATAGGTAGTTTTACAATAAATTTGAAGCCTGGCTTTGGTTGCTGAATAAATTGATGTTATAATTTAGAAAGAGGTTTTGTGGAGTATTTGGAAGACCCAGTAATATAACGTTGTTTGTAAGGACACTTATTCAATTTAGGTATTTAATACAGTTAAGGAAGATCAAGTTCCGCATCTTTGGTTGAAATTCAAAAGAAACCTACAAAAGACACTATAATTATACAAGACGTCCTCCTTGGTTAGTGTCGTTGGGGTAAATATTGAGTATCCAAGTGAAATGTCAATCCCTAGTTCATTAATCAAGCAGTTTATGTAATGTAATTTACACATAAAAACGATGTTCATTGGGGCTTTATCTGCAGGACAACAACGTATTTGTCATGTAGAACAACAACGATAATGAATTTCAGATTTTCTGACTTTAAAAAATACCTGCAGTTGTAGAAGCGGGTCCAGTGGTTACCGACGGTTGAGTTGTTTGAATCAAAGGTGGACTGGTTCCTGGTGCTCCAGCTTGAGTTCCCGTAGTTGGAGTTGACGCTGTAGAAGGTGTTCCAGAGGTAATAACTGGAGACGATGTAGGTGTTGTGGCTGGTTGTCCTGTGGTCACAGCTACAGAAAACATCACTATCATCACAGGCTTAGTACATTTATTTTAACACATATATAACTGAATAAAATTGTCAATATCATCTATACATTAAGATGTCGATTTTGTCCTCCACTAATGAAGCAAAAATATAATAATCAAGTAAAAGGGAACATATGGGATTGTTTTGCAGTGTTCAATTCAAGATGACAAGAAAGTTGTTTTGTTGGTCATATATATGAATATAACAGAAAATCAGTTTTGTCCGACCTAGCACGTTTTTCAGTAGCCTTCATAATGAACGCTCAAACCTCAACATATTCAATCCATGTCTACAAGCAATCACAAATTAAGACAAAACATTCATAGTTATATTCAATAAAAAAGGATTTAAAGATAAAATTACTCATACTCTTTTGTCAATACATATGAATGAATATAATATGGCAAATATAAGATTATATGCATTTTAACATATTGGTTATAATTCTATCGGGTTTTACGGAGCAGTTTATCAAATCTAATGGTTAATTTGAATGTACAGTACAACAAAATTAGTTACCTTTAATACAAGCCTCAACGGTGACACTATTTACAACCGGAGTTGCATTAGGTGTTTGGTCAGGTATTATCGTCAATGTTATCTTGTCAGCCAACAGAGGTTTGATCAGTTCCAGTTCTACGATGCCATTTGGTTGTGCCTGTTGAAATACATAGCCTTCTGAATGTATGAATGTGTCTATTATGGAGTACTATATTGCATTGTATAGTGTCATTTAATGGGTATCTTTACCTTAAATGGTGAAACCTATATACACAGTGCTTAGTATTGACAGACGACTATAGTCTTAATGCAACGTTTCATTACTAAAATATAATTGTAATCAAAGACTAATGTTCATGTCTTTACGAAAAGAATCATAATCCCCAAAACAACGACACTAGTGTACAATGTAACGTAATTTGTAAACATTCTTTGGTTATACTAGAATTTCAGAACTGCTTTTCGTGCGTTTCGTAGTTAATAAATTGAAGTTGTCTTCTTTTTCATTAATACTACAATCAGATGATAATAATAAAATATCATACCTTGACAGTCTCCTCATAAACTAAAACGTTGTCATTATAAAGTTTGATAACAATACTGTCAACAAATTCTGTTTCTAGAGCAACATTCATTATCGGATTACTGTCACTTGTTGATAACTCTAAAACTGGCTTTTCGTCTTCAGCTGACGGTTTCCATCCTGAAGGTGTTAAAGCGTTTTCAGCACCATCTGGATTCGATGAAGAAGTCACAGTTTCAAAATTTAATGGGCCCTTTGACGTATCGTCTGGACATTTTCCCAAACCTATAAATTCAAAAAGCAATAGTATAAATTAGAATACAAGGAAAGTGAAGTCAAAGGATAATGCCAGTTTCCTTTCATTCTTCCTTAAAAACTCCTGTATACAGTCAGCCTCATATGATTAAAGATACAAGTCGGCAAAAAGAGCCGCACAGTTGGTTCCTATGGGAATGCCGATTGTTAGTTGAAATACACGTCTTCCAAACGTAACAAATATGTTGTCAATCAAGACATCAAACATCTCGATAATATCAGTTTCAGAGAATTGCTTGTTTGAATCAGAGTGATTTTTTTACAAAGTACGATTTATTCCTCTTTTAGACAAGACACTTGTACCTATGTTGGCCTTTCTTTCTTAATAACAAAATAGGATCAACTCTTTCAATTTGCCTTTTAGTTTGGAATGGGAAATACTTGTGTAAAGTATAGAAAATTAAAATATCTTAATACTATTTGCAACACGAAATAGTCTTAGATTGTATGTTCTCTTACAGATCTTTAAACTTTTTTTAGCATCTGTATATGATTCACACCTACTCTCGAATAGGTAGTTTTACAATAAATTTGAAGCCCGGCTTTGGTTGCTGAATAAATTGATGTTAATAATTTAGAAAGAGGTTTTGTGGAGTACTTGGAAGACCCAGTAATATAACTTTGTTTGTAAGGACACTTGAGCAATTTAGGTATTTAATACAGTTAAGGAAGATCACGTTCCGCATCTTTGGTTGAAATTCAAAAGAAACATACAAAAGACCCTATAATTATACAAGACGTCCTCCTTGGTTAGTGTCGTTGGGGTAAATGTTGAGTTTCCAAGTGAAATGTCAATCCCTAGTTCATTTATCAAGCAGTTTATGTAATGTAATTTACATAAAAAAACGATGTTCATTGGGGTTTTATCTGCAGGACAACAACGTATTTGTCATGTAGAACAACAACGATAATGAATTTCAGATTTTCTGACTTTAAAAAATACCTGCAGTTGTAGAAGCGGGTCCAGTGGTTACCGACGGTTGAGTTGTTTGAATCAAAGGTGGACTGGTTCCTGGTGCTCCAGCTTGAGTACCTGTAGTTGGGGTTGACGCTGTAGAAGGTGTTCCAGAGGTAATCACTGGAGACGATGTAGGTGTTGTGGCTGGTTGTCCTGTGGTCACAGCTACAGAAAACATCACTATCATCACAGGCTTAATACATTTATTTTAACACATATATAACTGAATAAAATTGTCAATATCATCTATACATTAAGATGTCGATTTTGTCCTCCACTAATGAAGCAAAAATATAATAATCAAGTAAAAGGGAACATATGGGATTGTTTTGCAGTGTTCAAATTCAAGATGACATGAAAGTTGTTTTGTTGGTCATATATATGAAAATAACAGAAAATCAATTTTGTCCGACCGAGCGCTTTTTTCAGTAGCCTTCATCATGAACGCTCAAACCTCAACATATTCAATCCATGTCTACAAGCAATCACAAATTAAGACAAAACATTCATAGTTATATTCAATAAAAAAGGATTTAAAGATAAAATTGCTCATACTCTTTTCTCAATACATATGAATGAATATAATATGGCAAATATAAGATTATATGCATTTTAACATATTGGTTATAATTCTATCGGGTTTTACGGAGCAGTTTATCAAATCTAAATGTTAATTTGAATGTACAGTGCAACAAAATTAGTTACCTTTAATACAAGCCTCAACGGTGACACTTTTTACAACCGGAGTTGCATTAGGTGTTTGGTCAGGTATTATCGTCAATGTTATCTTGTCAGCCAACAGAGGTTTGATCAATTCCAGTTCTACGATGCCATTTGGTTGTGCCTGTTGAAATACATAGCCTTCTGAATGTATGAATGTGTCTATTATGGAGTACTATATTGCATTGTATAGTGTCATTTAATGGGTATCTTTACCTTAAAAGGTGTAACCTATATACACAGTGCTTAGTATTGACAGACGACTATAGTCTTAATGTAACGTTTCATTACTAAAATATAATTGTAATTAAAGACTAATGTTCATGTCTTTACGAAAAGAATCATAATCCCCTAAACAACGACACTAGAGTACAATGTAACGTAATTTGTAAACATTCTTTGGTTATACTAGAATTTCAGAACTGCTTTTCGTGTGTTTCGTAGTTAATAAATTGAAGTTGTCTTCTTTTTCATTAATATTACAATCAGATGATAATAATAAAATATCATACCTTGACAGTCTCCTCATAAACTAAAACGTTGTCATTATAAAGTTTGACAACAATACTGTCAACAAATTCTGTTTTTAGAGCAACATTCATTATCGGATTACTGTCACTTGTTGATAACTCTAAAACTGGCTTTTCGTCTTCAGCTGACGGTTTCCATCCTGAAGGTGTTAAAGCGTTTTCAGCACCATCTGGATTCGATGAAGAAGTCACAGTTTCAAAATTTAATGGGCCCTTTGGCGTATCGTCTGGACATTTTTCCAAACCTATAAATTCAAAAAGCAATAGTATAAATTAGAATACAAGGAAAGTGAAGTCAAAGGATAATGGCAGCTTCCTTTCATTCTTCCTTAAAAACTGCTATATACAGTCAGCCTCATATGATAAAAGATACAAGTCGGCAAAAAGAGCCGTACAGTTGGTTCATATGGGAATGCCGATTGTTAGTTGAAATACACTTCTTCCAAACGTAACAATTATGTTGTCAATCAAGACATCAAACATCTCGATAATATCAGTTTCAGAGAATTTCTTGTTTGAATCAGAGTGATTTTTTTACAAAGTACGATTTATCCCTCCCTAAGACAAGACACGTGTACCTATGTTGGCCTTTCTTTCTTAATAACAAAATAGGATCAACTCTTTCAATTTGCCTTTTAGTTTGGAATGGGAAATACTTGTGTAAAGTAAAGAAAATTAAAATATCTTAATACTATTTGCAAGACGAAATAGTCTTAGATTGTGTGTTCTCTAACAGATCTTTAAACCTTTTTTAGCATCTGTATATGATTCACACCTACTCTTGAATAGGTAGTTTTACAATAAATTTGAAGGCCGGCTTTGGTTGCTGAATACATTGATGTTATAATTTAGAAAGAGGTTTTGTGGAGTATTTTGAAGACCCAGTAATATAACGTTGTTTGTAAGGACACTTATTCAACTTTAGGTATTTAATACAGTTAAGGAAGATCACGTTCCGCATCTTTGGTTGAAATTCAAAAGAAACATAGAAAAGACCCTATAATTATACAAGACGTCCTCCTTGGTTAGTGGCGTTGGGGTAAATGTTGAGTTTCCAAGTAAAATGTCAATCCCTAGTTCATTTATCAAGCAGTTTATGTAATGTAATTTACACATAAAAACGATGTTCATTGGGGCTTTATCTGCAGGACAACAACGTATTTGTGATGTAGAACAACAACGATAATGAATTTCAGATTTTCTGACTTTAAAAAATACCTGCAGTTGTAGAAGCGGGTCCAGTGGTTACCGACGGTTGAGTTGTTTGAATCAAAGGTGGACTTGTTCCTGGTGCTCCAGCTTGAGTACCTGTAGTTGGGGTTGACGCTGTAGAAGGTGTTCCAGAGGTAATCACTGGAGACGATGTAGGTGTTTTAGCTGGTTGTCCTGTGGTCACAGCTACAGAAAACATCACTATCATCACAGGCTTAGTACATTTATTTTAACACATATATAACTGAATAAAATTGTCAATATCATCTATACATTAAGATGTCGATTTTGTCCTCCACTAATGAAGCAAAAATATAATAATCAAGTAAAAGGGAACATATGGGATTGTTTTGCAGTGTTCAAATTCAAGATGACATGAAAGTTGTTTTGTTGGTCATATATATGAAAATAACAGAAAAATCAATTTTGTCCGACCGAGCGCTTTTTTCAGTAGCCTTCATCATGAACGCTCAAACCTCAACATATTCAATCCATGTCTACAAGCAATCACAAATTAAGACAAAACAATCATAGTTATATTCAATAAAAAAGGATTTAAAGATAAAATTGTTCATAGTCTTTTGTCAATACATATGAATGGATATAATATGGCATATATAAGATTATATGCATTTTAACATATTGGTTATAATTCTATCGGGTTTTACATAGCAGTTTATCAAATCTAAATGTTAATTTGAATGTTAAGTACAACAAAATTAGTTACCTTTAATACAAGCCTCCACGGTGACACTTTTTACAACCGGAGTTGCATTAGGTGTTTGGTCAGGTACTATCGTCAATGTTATCTTGTCAGCCAACAAAGGTTTGATCAGTTCCAGTTCTACGATGCCATTTGGTTGTGCCTGTTGAAATACAAAGCCTTCTGAATGTATGAATGTGTCTATTATGGAGTACTATATTGCATTGTATAGTGTCATTTAATGGGTATCTTTACCTTAAACGGTGTAACCAACATACACAGTACTTAGTATTGACAGACGACTATAGTCTTAATGCAACGTTTCATTACTAAAATATAATTGTAATCAAAGACTAATCTTCATGTCTTTACGAAAAGAATCATAATCCCCTAAACAACGACACTAGAGTACAATGTAACGTAATTTGTAAACATTCTTTGGTTATACTAGAATTTCAGAACTGTTTTTCGTGCGTTTCGTAGTTAATAAGTTGAAGTTGTCTTCTTTTTCATTAATATTACAATCAGATGATAATAATAAAATGTCATACCTTGACAGTCTCCTCATAAACTAAAACGTTGTCATTATAAAGTTTGACAACAATACTGTCAACAAATTCTGTTTCTAGAGCAACATTCATTATCGGATTACTGTCACTTGTTGATAACTCTAAAACTGGCTTTTCGTCCTCAGCTAACGGTGTCCATCCTGAAGGTGTTAAAGCGTTTTCAGCACCATCTGGATTCGATGAAGAAGTCACAGTTTCAAAATTTAATGGGCCCTTTGGCGTATCGTCTGGACATTTTCCCAAACCTATAAATTCAAAAAGCAATAGTATAAATTAGAATACAAGGAAAGTGAAGTCAAAGGATAATGGCAGCTTCCTTTCATTCTTCCTTAAAAACTGCTGTATACAGTCAGCCTCATATGATTAAAGATACAAGTCGGCAAAAAGAGCCGCACAGTTGGTTCCTATGGGAATGCCGATTGTTAGTTGAAATACACGTCTTCCAAACGTAACAATTATGTTGTCAATCAAGACATCAAACATCTCGATAATATCAGTTTCAGAGAATTTCTTGTTTGAATCAGAGTGATTTTTTTTACAAAGTACGATTTATCCCTCCCTAAGACAAGACACGTGTACCTATGTTGGCCTTTCTTTCTTAATAACAAAATAGGATCAACTCTTTCAATTTGCCTTTTAGTTTGGAATGGGAAATACTTGTGTAAAGTAAAGAAAATTAAAATATCTTAATACTATTTGCAAGACGAAATAGTCTTAGATTGTGTGTTCTCTAACAGATCTTTAAACCTTTTTTAGCATCTGTATATGATTCACACCTACTCTTGAATAGGTAGTTTTACAATAAATTTGAAGCCTGGCTTTGGTTGCTGAATACATTGATGTTATAATTTAGAAAGAGGTTTTGTGGAGTATTTTGAAGACCCAGTTATATAACGTTGTTTGTAAGGACACTTATTCAATTTAGGTATTTAATACAGTTAAGGAAGATCAAGTTCCGCATCTTTGGTTGAAATTCAAAAGAAACCTACAAAAGACACTATAATTATACAAGACGTCCTCATTGGTTAGTGTCGTTGGGGTAAATGTTGAGTTTCCAAGTGAAATGTCAATCCCTAGTTCATAAATCAAGCAGTTTATGTAATGTAATTTACACATAAAAACGATGTTCATTGGGGCTTTATCTGCAGGACAACAACGTATTTGTGATGTAGAACAACAACGATAATGAATTTCAGATTTTCTGACTTTAAAAAATACCTGCAGTTGTAGAAGCGGGTCCAGTGGTTACCGACGGTTGAGTTGTTTGAATCAAAGGTGGACTGGTTCCTGGTGCTCCAGCTTGAGTACCTGTAGTTGGGGTTGACGCTGTAGAAGGTGTTCCAGAGGTAATCACTGGAGACGATGTAAGTGTTGTGGCTGGTTGTCCTGTCGTCACAGCTACAGAAAACATCACTATCATCACAGGCTTAATACATTTATTTTAACACATATATAACTGAATAAAATTGTCAATATCATCTATACATTAAGATGTCGATTTTGTCCTCCACTAATGAAGCAAAAATATAATAATCAAGTGAAAGGGAACATATGGGATTGTTTTGCAGTGTTCAAATTCAAGATGACATGAAAGTTGTTTTGTTGGTCAAATATATGAAAATAACAGAAAATCAATTTTGTCCGACCGAGCGCTTTTTTCAGTAGCCTTCATCATGAACGCTCAAACCTCAACATATTCAATCCATGTCTACAAGCAATCACAAATTAAGACAAAACATTCATAGTTATATTCAATAAAAAAGGATTTAAAGATAAAATTGTTCATACTCTTTTGTCAATACATATGAATGGATATAATATGGCATATATAAGATTATATGCATTTTAACATATTGGTTATAATTCTATCGGGTTTTACATAGCAGTTTATCAAATCTAAATGTTAATTTGAATGTTAAGTACAACAAAATTAGTTACCTTTAATACAAGCCTCCACGGTGACACTTTTTACAACCGGAGTTGCATTAGGTGTTTGGTCAGGTACTATCGTCAATGTTATCTTGTCAGCCAACAAAGGTTTGATCAGTTCCAGTTCTACGATGCCATTTGGTTGTGCCTGTTGAAATACAAAGCCTTCTGAATGTATGAATGTGTCTATTATGGAGTACTATATTGCATTGTATAGTGTCATTTAATGGGTATCTTTACCTTAAACGGTGTAACCAACATACACAGTACTTAGTATTGACAGACGACTATAGTCTTAATGCAACGTTTCATTACTAAAATATAATTGTAATCAAAGACTAATCTTCATGTCTTTACGAAAAGAATCATAATCCCCTAAACAACGACACTAGAGTACAATGTAACGTAATTTGTAAACATTCTTTGGTTATACTAGAATTTCAGAACTATTTTTCGTGCGTTTCGTAGTTAATAAGTTGAAGTTATCTTCTTTTTCATTAATATTACAATCAGATGATAATAATAAAATGTCATACCTTAACAGTCTCCTCATAAACTAAAACGTTGTCATTATAAAGTTTGACAACAATACTGTCAACAAATTCTGTTTCTAGAGCAACATTCATTATCGGATTACTGTCACTTGTTGATAACTCTAAAACTGGCTTTTCGTCCTCAGCTAACGGTGTCCATCCTGAAGGTGTTAAAGCGTTTTCAGCACCATCTGGATTCGATGAAGAAGTCACAGTTTCAAAATTTAATGGGCCCTTTGGCGTATCGTCTGGACATTTTCCCAAACCTATAAATTCAAAAAGCAATAGTATAAATTAGAATACAAGGAAAGTGAAGTCAAAGGATAATGGCAGCTTCCTTTCATTCTTCCTTAAAAACTGCTGTATACAGTCAGCCTTATATGATTAAAGATACAAGTCGGGAAAAAGAGCCGCACAGTTGGTTCCTATGGGAATGCCGATTGTTAGTTGAAATACACGTCTTCCAAACGTAACAATTATGTTGTCAATCAAGACATCAAACATCTCGATAATATCAGTTTCAGAGAATTTCTTGTTTGAATCAGAGTGATTTTTTTTACAAATTACGATTTATCCCTCCCTAAGACAAGACACGTGTACCTATGTTGGCCTTTCTTTCTTAATAACAAAATAGGATCAACTCTTTCAATTTGCCTTTTAGTTTGGAATGGGAAATACTTGTGTAAAGTAAAGAAAATTAAAATATCTTAATACTATTTGCAAGACGAAATAGTCTTAGATTGTGTGTTCTCTAACAGATCTTTAAACCTTTTTTAGCATCTGTATATGATTCACACCTACTCTTGAATAGGTAGTTTTACAATAAATTTGAAGCCTGGCTTTGGTTGCTGAATACATTGATGTTATAATTTAGAAAGAGGTTTTGTGGAGTATTTTGAAGACCCAGTAATATAACGTTGTTTGTAAGGACACTTATTCAATTTAGGTATTTAATACAGTTAAGGAAGATCAAGTTCCGCATCTTTGGTTGAAATTCAAAAGAAACCTACAAAAGACCCTATAATTATACAAGACGTCCTCCTTGGTTAGTGTCGTTGGGGTAAATGTTGAGTTTCCAAGTGAAATGTCAATCCCTAGTTCATAAATCAAGCAGTTTATGTAATGTAATTTACACATAAAAACGATGTTCATTGGGGCTTTATCTGCAGGACAACAACGTATTTGTCATGTAGAACAACAACGATAATGAATTTCAGATTTTCTGACTTTAAAAAATACCTGCAGTTGTAGAAGCGGGTCCAGTGGTTACCGACGGTTGAGTTGTTTGAATCAAAGGTGGACTGGTTCCTGGTGCTCCAGCTTGAGTTCCCGTAGTTGGAGTTGACGCTGTAGAAGGTGTTCCAGAGGTAATAACTGGAGATGATGTAGGTGTTGTGGCTGGTTGTCCTGTGGTCACAGCTACAGAAAACATCACTATCATCACAGGCTTAGTACATTTATTTTAACACATTTATAACTGAATAAAATTGTCAATATCATCTATACATTAAGATGTCGATTTTGTCCTCCACTAATGAAGCAAAAATATAATAATCAAGTAAAAGGGAACATATGGGATTGTTTTGCAGTGTTCATTTCAAGATGACATGAAAGTTGTTTTGTTGGTCATATATATGAAAATAACAGAAAATCAGTTTTGTCCGACCTAGCACGTTTTTCAGTAGCCTTCATAATGAACGCTCAAACCTCAACATATTCAATCCATGTCTACAAGCAATCACAAATTAAGACAAAACATTCATAGTTATATTCAATAAAAAAGGATTTAAAGATAAAATTGCTCATACTCTTTTGTCAATACATATGAATGAATATAATATGGCAAATATAAGATTATATGCATTTTAACATATTGGCTATAATTCTATCGGGTTTTACGGAGCAGTTTATCAAATCTAATTGTTAATTTGAATGTACAGTACAACAAGTTTAGTTACCTTTAATACAAGCCTCAACGGTGACACTTTTTACAACCGGAGTTGCATTAGGTGTTTGGTCAGGTATTATCGTCAATGTTATCTTGTCAGCCAACAGAGGTTTGATCAATTCCAGTTCTACGATGCCATTTGGTTGTGTCTGTTGAAATACATAGCCTTCTGAATGTATGAATGTGTCTATTATGGAGTACTATATTGCATTGTATAGTGTCATTTAATGGGTATCTTTACCTTAAATGGTGTAACCTATATACACAGTGCTTAGTATTGACAGACGACTATAGTCTTAATGCAACGTTTCATTACTAAAATATAATTGTAATCAAAGACTAATGTTCATGTCTTTACGAAAAGAATCATAATCCCCGAAACAACGACACTAGTGTACAATGTAACGTAATTTGTAAACACTCTTTGGTTATACTAGAATTTCAGAACTGCTTTTCGTGCGTTTCGTAGTTAATAAATTGAAGTTGTCTTCTTTTTCATTAATACTACAATCAGATGATAATAATAAAATATCATACCTTGACAGTCTCCTCATAAACTAAAACGTTGTCATTATAAAGTTTGATAACAATACTGTCAACAAATTCTGTTTCTAGAGCAACATTCATTATCGGATTACTGTCACTTGTTGATAACTCTAAAACTGGCTTTTCGTCTTCAGCTGACGGATTCCATCCTGAAGGTGTTAAAGCGTTTTCAGCACCATCTGGATTCGATGAAGAAGTCACAGTTTTAAAATTTAATGGGCCCTTTGACGTACCGTCTGGACATTTTCCCAAACCTATAAATTCAAAATGCAATAGTATAAATTAGAATACAAGGAAAGTGAAGTCAAAGGATAATGCAGTTTCCTTTCATTCTTCCTTAAAAACTCCTGTATACAGTCAGCCTCATATGATTAAAGATACAAGTCGGCAAAAAGAGCCACACAGTTGGTTCCTATGGGAATGCCGATTGTTAGTTGAAATACACGTCTTCCAAACGTAACAATTATGTTGTCAATCAAGACATCAAACATCTCGATAATATCAGTTTCAGAGAATTTCTTGTTTGAATCAGAGTGATTTTTTTACAAAGTACGATTTATCCCTCCCTAAGACAAGACACTTGTACCTATGTTGGCCTTTCTTTCTTATGAAACAAAGTAGGATCAATTCTTTCAATTTGCCTTTTAGTTTGGAATGGGAAATACTTGTTTAAAGTAAAGAAAATTAAAATATCTTAACACTATTTGCAAGACGAAATAGTCTTAGATTGTGTGTTTTCTAAAAGATCTTTAAACCTTTTTAGCATCTGTATATGATTCACACCTACTCTAGAATAGGTAGTTTTACAATAAATTTGAAGCCTGGCTTTGGTTGCTGAATAAATTGATGTTATAATTTAGAAAGAGGTTTTGTGGAGTATTTGGAAGACCCAGTAATATAACGTTGTTTGTAAGGACACTTATTCAATTTAGGTATTTAATACAGTTAAGGAAGATCAAGTTCCGCATCTTTGGTTGAAATTCAAAAGAAACCTACAAAAGACACTATAATTATACAAGACGTCCTCCTTGGTTAGTGTCGTTGGGGTAAATGTTGAGTATCCAAGTGAAATGTCAATCCCTAGTTCATTAATCAAGCAGTTTATGTAATGTAATTTACACATAAAAACGATGTTCATTGGGGCTTTATCTGCAGGACAACAACGTATTTGTCATGTAGAACAACAACGATAATGAATTTCAGATTTTCTGACTTTAAAAAATACCTGCAGTTGTAGAAGCGGGTCCAGTGGTTACCGACGGTTGAGTTGTTTGAATCAAAGGTGGACTGGTTCCTGGTGCTCCAGCTTGAGTACCTGTAGTTGGGGTTGACGCTGTAGAAGGTGTTCCAGAGTTAATCACTGGAGACGATGTAGGTGTTGTGGCTGGTTGTCCTGTGGTCACAGCTACAGAAAACATCACTATCATCACAGGCTTAATACATTTATTTTAACACATATATAACTGAATAAAATTGTCAATATCATCTATACATTAAGATGTCGATTTTGTCCTCCACTAATGAAGCAAAAATATAATAATCAAGTAAAAGGGAACATATAGGATTGTTTTGCAGTGTTCAAATTCAAGATGACATGAAAGTTGTTTTGTTGGTCATATATATGAAAATAACAGAAAATCAATTTTGTCCGACCGAGCGCTTTTTTCAGTAGCCTTCATCATGAACGCTCAAACCTCAACATATTCAATCCATGTCTACAAGCAATCACAAATTTAGACAAAACATTCATAGTTATATTCAATAAAAAAGGATTTAAAGATAAAATTGTTCATACTCTTTTGTCAATACATATGAATGGATATACTTAGTAATATGGCATATATAAGATTATATGCATTTTAACATATTGGTTATAATTCTATCGGGTTTTACGGGGCAGTTTATCAAATCTAAATGTTAATTTGAATGTAAAGTACAACAAAATTAGTTACCTTTAATACAAGCCTCCACGGTGACACTTTTTACAACCGGAGTTTCATTAGGTGTTTGGTCAGGTACTATCGTCAATGTTATCTTGTCAGCCAACAAAGGTTTGATCAATTCCAGTTCTACGATGCCATTTGGTTGTGCCTGTTGAAATACAAAGCCTTCTGAATGTATGAATGTGTCTATTATGGAGTACTATATTGCATTGTATAGTGTCATTTAATGGGTATCTTTACCTTAAACGGTGTAACCAACATACACAGTACTTAGTATTGACAGACGACTATAGTCTTAATGCAACGTTTCATTACTAAAATATAATTGTAATCAAAGACTAATGTTCATGTCTTTACGAAAAGTATCATAATCCCCTAAACAGCGACACTAGAGTACAATGTAACGTAATTTGTAAACATTCTTTGGTTATACTAGAATTTCAGAACTGTTTTTCGTGCGTTTCGTAGTTAATAAGTTGAAGTTGTCTTCTTTTTCATTAATATTACAATCAGATGATAATAATAAAATGTCATACCTTGACAGTCTCCTCATAAACTAAAACGTTGTCATTATAAAGTTTGACAACAATACTGTCAACAAATTCTGTTTCTAGAGCAACATTCATTATCGGATTACTGTCACTTGTTGATAACTCTAAAACTGGCTTTTCGTCTTCAGCTGACGGTTTCCATCCTGAAGGTGTTAAAGCGTTTTCAGCACCATCTGGATTCGATGAAGAAGTCACAGTTTCAAAATTTAATGGGCCCTTTGGCGTATCGTCTGGACATTTTCCCAAACCTATAAATTCAAAAAGCAATAGTATAAATTAGAATACAAGGAAAGTGAAGTCAAAGGATATGGCAGCTTCCTTTCATTCTTCCTTAAAAACTGCTGTATACAGTCAGCCTCATATGATAAAAGATACAAGTCGGCAAAAAGAGCCGTACAGTTGGTTCATATGGGAATGCCGATTGTTAGTTGAAATACACGTCTTCCAAACGTAACAATTATGTTGTCAATCAAGACATCAAACATCTCGATAATATCAGTTTCAGAGAATTTCTTGTTTGAATCAGAGTGATTTTTTTACAAAGTACGATTTATCCCTCCCTAAGACAAGACACGTGTACCTATGTTGGCCTTTCTTTCTTAATAACAAAATAGGATCAACTCTTTCAATTTGCCTTTTAGTTTGGAATGGGAAATACTTGTGTAAAGTAAAGAAAATTAAAATATCTTAATACTATTTGCAAGACGAAATAGTCTTAGATTGTGTGTTCTCTAACAGATCTTTAAACCTTTTTTAGCATCTGTATATGATTCACACCTACTCTTGAATAGGTAGTTTTACAATAAATTTGAAGGCCGGCTTTGGTTGCTGAATACATTGATGTTATAATTTAGAAAGAGGTTTTGTGGAGTATTTTGAAGACCCAGTAATATAACGTTGTTTGTAAGGACACTTATTCAATTTTAGGTATTTAATACAGTTAAGGAAGATCAAGTTCCGCATCTTTGGTTGAAATTCAAAAGAAACCTACAAAAGACCCTATAATTATACAAGACGTCCTCCTTGGTTAGTGTCGTTGGGGTAAATGTTGAGTTTCCAAGTGAAATGTCAATCCCTAGTTCATAAATCAAGCAGTTTATGTAATGTAATTTACACATAAAAACGATGTTCATTGGGGCTTTATCTGCAGGACAACAACGTATTTGTCATGTAGAACAACAACGATAATGAATTTCAGATTTTCTGACTTTAAAAAATACCTGCAGTTGTAGAAGCGGGTCCAGTGGTTACCGACGGTTGAGTTGTTTGAATCAAAGGTGGACTGGTTCCTGGTGCTCCAGCTTGAGTTCCCGTAGTTGGAGTTGACGCTGTAGAAGGTGTTCCAGAGGTAATAACTGGAGACGATGTAGGTGTTGTGGCTGGTTGTCCTGTGGTCACAGCTACAGAAAACATCACTATCATCACAGGCTTAGTACATTTATTTTAACACATTTATAACTGAATAAAATTGTCAATATCATCTATACATTAAGATGTCGATTTTGTCCTCCACTAATGAAGCAAAAATATAATAATCAAGTAAAAGGGAACATATGGGATTGTTTTGCAGTGTTAATTTCAAGATGACATGAACGTTGTTGTGTTGGTCATATATATGAAAATAACAGAAAATCAGTTTTGTCCGACCTAGCACGTTTTTCAGTAGCCTTCATAATGAACGCTCAAACCTCAACATATTCAATCCATGTCTACAAGCAATCACAAATTAAGACAAAACATTCATAGTTATATTCAATAAAAAAGGATTTAAAGATAACATTGCTCATACTCTTTTGTCAATACATATGAATGAATATAATATGGCAAATATAAGATTATATGCATTTTAACATATTGGTTATAATTCTATCGGGTTTTACGGAGCAGTTTATCAAATCTAATTGTTAATTTGAATGTACAGTACAACAAGTTTAGTTACCTTTAATACAAGCCTCAACGGTGACACTTTTTACAACCGGAGTTGCATTAGGTGTTTGGTCAGGTATTATCGTCAATGTTATCTTGTCAGCCAACAGAGGTTTGATCAATTCCAGTTCTACGATGCCATTTGGTTGTGCCTGTTGAAATACATAGCCTTCTGAATGTATGAATGTGTCTATTATGGAGTACTATATTGCATTGTATAGTGTCATTTAATGGGTATCTTTACCTTAAATGGTGTAACCTATATACACAGTGCTTAGTATTGACAGACGACTATAGTCTTAATGCAACGTTTCATTACTAAAATATAATTGTAATCAAAGACTAATGTTCATGTCTTTACGAAAAGAATCATAATCCCCGAAACAACGACACTAGTGTACAATGTAACGTAATTTGTAAACACTCTTTGGTTATACTAGAATTTCAGAACTGCTTTTCGTGCGTTTCGTAGTTAATAAATTGAAGTTGTCTTCTTTTTCATTAATACTACAATCAGATGATAATAATAAAATATCTTACCTTGACAGTCTCCTCATAAACTAAAACGTTGTCATTATAAAGTTTGATAACAATACTGTCAACAAATTCTGTTTCTAGAGCAACATTCATTATCGGATTACTGTCACTTGTTGATAACTCTAAAACTGGCTTTTCGTCTTCAGCTGACGGATTCCATCCTGAAGGTGTTAAAGCGTTTTCAGCACCATCTGGATTCGATGAAGAAGTCACAGTTTCAAAATTTAATGGGCCCTTTGACGTATCGTCTGGACATTTTCCCAAACCTATAAATTAAAAATGCCATAGTATAAATTAGAATACAAGGAAAGTGAAGTCAAAGGATAATGCAGTTTCCTTTCATTCTTCCTTAAAAACTCCTGTATACAGTCAGCCTCATATGATTAAAGATACAAGTCGGCAAAAAGAGCCGCACAGTTGGTTCCTATGGGAATGCCGATTGTTAGTTGAAATACACGTCTTCCAAACGTAACAATTATGTTGTCAATCAAGACATCAAACATCTCGATAATATCAGTTTCAGAGAATTTATTGTTTGAATCAGAGTGATTTTTTTACAAAGTACGATTTATTCCTCCCTTAGACAAGACACTTGTACCTATGTTGGCCTTTCTTTCTTAATAACAAAATAGGATCAACTCTTTCAATTTGCCTTTTAGTTTGGAATGGGAAATACTTGTGTAAAGTATAGAAAATTAAAATATCTTAATACTATTTGCAAGACGAAATAGTCTTAGATTGTATGTTCTCTAACAGATCTTTAAACTTTTTTTAGCATCTGTATATGATTCACACCTACTCTCGAATAGGTAGTTTTACAATAAATTTGAAGCCCGGCTTTGGTTGCTGAATAAATTGATGTTAATAATTTAGAAAGAGGTTTTGTGGAGTACTTGGAAGACCCAGTAATATAACTTTGTTTGTAAGGACACTTGAGCAATTTAGGTATTTAATACAGTTAAGGAAGATCACGTTCCGCATCTTTGGTTGAAATTCAAAAGAAACATACAAAAGACACTATAATTATACAAGACGTCCTCCTTGGTTAGTGTCGTTGGGGTAAATGTTGAGTTTCCAATTGAAATGTCAATCCCTAGTTCATTTATCAAGCAGTTTATGTAATGTAATTTACACATAAAAACGATGTTCATTGGGGCTTTATCTGCAGGACAACAACGTATTTGTCATGTAGAACAACAACGATAATGAATTTCAGATTTTCTGACTTTAAAAAATACCTGCAGTTGTAGAAGCGGGTCCAGTGGTTACCGACGGTTGAGTTGTTTGAATCAAAGGTGGACTGGTTCCTGGTGCTCCAGCTTGAGTACCTGTAGTTGGGGTTGACGCTGTAGAAGGTGTTCCAGAGGTAATCACTGGAGACGATGTAGGTGTTGTGGCTGGTTGTCCTGTGGTCACAGCTACAGAAAACATCACTATCATCACAGGCTTAGTACATTTATTTTAACACATATATAACTGAATAAAATTGTCAATATCATCTATACATTAAGATGTCGATTTTGTCCTCCACTAATGAAGCAAAAATATAATAATCAAGTAAAAGGGAACATATGGGATTGTTTTTCAGTGTTCAATTCAAGATGACATGAAAGTTGTTTTGTTGGTCATATATATGAAAATAACAGAAAATCAGTTTTGTCCGACCTAGCACGTTTTTCAGTAGCCTTCATAATGAACGCTCAAACCTCAACATATTCAATCCATGTCTACAAGCAATCACAAATTAAGACATAACATTGATGGTTATATTCAATAAAAAAGGATTTAAAGATAAAATTGTTCATACTCTTTTGTCAATACATATGAATGAATATAATATGGCAAATATAAGATTATATGCATTTTAACATATTGGTTATAATTCTATCGGGTTTTACGGAGCAGTTTATCAAATCTAATGGTTAATTTGAATGTACAGTACAACAAAATTAGTTACCTTTAATACAAGCCTCAACGGTGACACTTTTTAAAACCGGAGTTGCATTAGGTGTTTGGTCAGGTATTATCGTCAATGTTATCTTGTCAGCCAACAGAGGTTTGATCAATTCCAGTTCTACGATGCCATTTAGTTGTGCCTGTTGAAATACATAGCCTTCTGAATGTATGAATGTGTCTATTATGGAGTACTATATTGCATTGTATAGTGTCATTTAATGGGTATCTTTACCTTAAATGGTGTAACCTATATACACAGTGCTTAGTATTGACAGACGACTATAGTCTTAATGCAACGTTTCATTACTAAAATATAATTGTAATCAAAGACTAATGTTCATGTCTTTATGAAAAGAATCATAATCCCCTAAACAACGACACTAGTGTACAATGTAACGTAATTTGTAAACATTCTTTGGTTATACTAGAATTTCAGAACTGCTTTTCGTGTGTTTCGTAGTTAATAAATTGAAGTTGTCTTCTTTTTCATTAATATTACAATCAGATGATAATAATAAAATATTATACCTTGACAGTCTCCTCATAAACTAAAACGTTGTCATTATAAAGTTTGACAACAATACTGTCAACAAATTCTGTTTCTAGAGCAACATTCATTATCGGATTACTGTCACTTGTTGATAACTCTAAAACTGGCTTTTCGTCTTCAGCTGACGGTTTCCATCCTGAAGGTGTTAAAGCATTTTCAGCACCATCTGGATTCGATGAAGAAGTCACAGTTTCAAAATTTAATGGGCCCTTTGGCGTATCGTCTGGACATTTTCCCAAACCTATAAATTCAAAAAGCAATAGTATAAATTAGAATACAAGGAAAGTGAAGTCAAGGGATAATGGCAGCTTCCTTTCATTCTTCCTTAAAAACTGCTGTATACAGTCAGCCTCATATGATTAAAGATACAAGTCGGCAAAAAGAGCCACACAGTTGGTTCCTATGGGAATGCCGATTGTTAGTTGAAATACACGTCTTCCAAACGTAACAATTATGTTGTCAATCAAGACATCAAACATCTCGATAATATCAGTTTCAGAGAATTTCTTGTTTGAATCAGAGTGATTTTTTTACAAAGTACGATTTATCCCTCCCTAAGACAAGACACTTGTACCTATGTTGGCCTTTCTTTCTTAATAACAAAGTAGGATCAATTCTTTCAATTTGCCTCTTAGTTTGGAATGGGAAATACTTGTGTGAAGTAAAGAAAATTAAAATATCTTAATACTATTTGCAAGACGAAATAGTCTTAGATTGTGTGTTCTCTAACAGATCTTTAAACCTTTTTAGCATCTGTATATGATTCACACCTACTGTCGAATAGGTAGTTTTACAATAAATTTGAAGCCCGGCTTTGGTTCCTGAATAAATTGATGTTAATAATTTAGAAAGAGGTTTTGTGGAGTACTTGGAAGACCCAGTAATATAACTTTGTTTGTAAGGACACTTGAGCAATTTAGGTATTTAATACAGTTAAGGAAGATCACGTTCCGCATCTTTGGTTGAAATTCAAAAGAAACATACAAAAGACCCTATAATTATACAAGACGTCCTCCTTGGTTAGTGTCGTTGGGGTAAATGTTGAGTTTCCAAGTGAAATGTCAATCCCTAGTTCATTTATCAAGCAGTTTATGTAATGTAATTTACATAAAAAACGATGTTCATTGGGGCTTTATCTGCAGGACAACAACGTATTTGTCATGTAGAACAACAACGATAATGAATTTCAGATTTTCTGACTTTAAAAAATACCTGCAGTTGTAGAAGCGGGTCCAGTGGTTACCGACGGTTGAGTTGTTTGAATAAAAGGTGGACTGGTTCCTGGTGCTCCAGCTTGAGTACCTGTAGTTGGGGTTGACGCTGTAGAAGGTGTTCCAGAGGTAATCACTGGAGACGATGTAGGTGTTGTGGCTGGTTGTCCTGTGGTCACAGCTACAGAAAACATCACTATCATCACAGGCTTAGTACATTTATTTTAACACATATATAACTGAATAAAATTGTCAATATCATCTATACATTAAGATGTCGATTTTGTCCTCCACTAATGAAGCAAAAATATAATAATCAAGTAAAAGGGAACATATGGGATTGTTTTGCAGTGTTCAAATTCAAGATGACATGAAAGTTGTTTTGTTGGTCATATATATGAAAATAACAGAAAATCAATTTTGTCCGACCGAGCGCTTTTTTCAGTAGCCTTCATCATGAACGCTCAAACCTCAACATATTCAATCCATGTCTACAAGCAATCACAAATTAAGACAAAACATTCATAGTTATATTCAATAAAAAAGGATTTAAAGATAAAATTGCTCATACTCTTTTCTCAATACATATGAATGAATATAATATGGCAAATATAAGATTATATGCATTTTAACATATTGGTTATAATTCTATCGGGTTTTACGGAGCAGTTTATCAAATCTAAATGTTAATTTGAATGTACAGTGCAACAAAATTAGTTACCTTTAATACAAGCCTCAACGGTGACACTTTTTACAACCGGAGTTGCATTAGGTGTTTGGTCAGGTATTATCGTCAATGTTATCTTGTCAGCCAACAGAGGTTTGATCAATTCCAGTTCTACGATGCCATTTGGTTGTGCCTGTTGAAATACATAGCCTTCTGAATGTATGAATGTGTCTATTATGGAGTACTATATTGCATTGTATAGTGTCATTTAATGGGTATCTTTACCTTAAATGGTGTAACCTATATACACAGTGCTTAGTATTGACAGACGACTATAGTCTTAATGCAACGTTTCATTACTAAAATATAATTGTAATCAAAGACTAATGTTCATGTCTTTACGAAAAGAATCATAATCCCCTAAACAACGACACTAGAGTACAATGTAACGTAATTTGTAAACATTCTTTGGTTATACTAGAATTTCAGAACTGCTTTTCGTGCGTTTCGTAGTTAATAAATTGAAGTTGTCTTCTTTTTCATTAATATTACAATCAGATGATAATAATAAAATATTATACCTTGACAGTCTCCTCATAAACTAAAACGTTGTCATTATAAAGTTTGACAACAATACTGTCAACAAATTCTGTTTCTAGAGCAACATTCATTATCGGATTACTGTCACTTGTTGATAACTCTAAAACTGGCTTTTCGTCTTCAGCTGACGGTTTCCATCCTGAAGGTGTTAAAGCGTTTTCAGCACCATCTGGATTCGATGAAGAAGTCACAGTTTCAAAATTTAATGGGCCCTTTGGCGTATCGTCTGGACATTTTCCCAAACCTATAAATTCAAAAAGCAATAGTATAAATTAGAATACAAGGAAAGTGAAGTCAAGGGATAATGGCAGCTTCCTTTTATTCTTCCTTAAAAACTGCTGTATACAGTCAGCCTCATATGATTAAAGATACAAGTCGGCAAAAAGAGCCACACAGTTGGTTCCTATAGGAATGCCGATTGTTAGTTGAAATACACGTCTTCCAAACGTAACAATTATGTTGTCAATCAAGACATCAAACATCTCGATAATATCAGTTTCAGAGAATTTCTTGTTTGAATCAGAGTGATTTTTTTACAAAGTACGATTTATCCCTCCCTAAGACAAGACACGTGTACCTATGTTGGCCTTTCTTTCTTAATAACAAAATAGGATCAACTCTTTCAATTTGCCTTTTAGTTTGGAATGGGAAATACTTGTGTAAAGTAAAGAAAATTAAAATATCTTAATACTATTTGCAAGACGAAATAGTCTTAGATTGTGTGTTCTCTAACAGATCTTTAAACCTTTTTTTAGCATCTGTATATGATTCACACCTTTTCTTGAATAGGTAGTTTTACAATAAATTTGAAGCCCGGCTTTGGTTGCTGAATACATTGATGTTATAATTTAGAAAGAGGTTTTGTGGAGTATTTTGAAGACCCAGTAATATAACGTTGTTTGTAAGGACACTTATTCAATTTTAGGTATTTAATACAGTTAAGGAAGATCAAGTTCCGCATCTTTGGTTGAAATTCAAAAGAAACCTACAAAAGACACTATAATTATACAAGACGTCCTCCTTGGTTAGTGTCGTTGGGGTAAATGTTGAGTTTCCAAGTGAAATGTCAATCCCTAGTTCATAAATCAAGCAGTTTATGTAATGTAATTTACACATAAAAACGATGTTCATTGGGGCTTTATCTGCAGGACAACAACGTATTTGTCATGTAGAACAACAACGATAATGAATTTCAGATTTTCTGACTTTAAAAAATACCTGCAGTTGTAGAAGCGGGTCCAGTGGTTACCGACGGTTGAGTTGTTTGAATCAAAGGTGGACTGGTTCCTGGTGCTCCAGCTTGAGTTCCCGTAGTTGGAGTTGACGCTGTAGAAGGTGTTCCAGAGGTAATAACTGGAGACGATGTAGGTGTTGTGGCTGGTTGTCCTGTGGTCACAGCTACAGAAAATATCACTATCATCACAGGCTTAGTACATTTATTTTAACACATTTATAACTGAATAAAATTGTCAATATCATCTATACATTAAGATGTCGATTTTGTCCTCCACTAATGAAGCAAAAATATAATAATCAAGTAAAAGGGAACATATGGGATTGTTTTGCAGTGTTCAATTCAAGATGACATGAAAGTTGTTTTGTTGGTCATATATATGAAAATAACAGAAAATCAGTTTTGTCCGACCTAGCACGTTTTTCAGTAGCCTTCATAATGAACGCTCAAACCTCAACATATTCAATCCATGTCTACAAGCAATCACAAATTAAGACAAAACATTCATAGTTATATTCAATAAAAAAGGATTTAAAGATAAAATTGCTCATACTCTTTTGTCAATACATATGAATGAATATAATATGGCAAATATAAGATTATATGCATTTTAACATATTGGTTATAATTCTATCGGGTTTTATGGAGCAGTTTATCAAATCTAATTGTTAATTTGAATGTACAGTACAACAAGTTTAGTTACCTTTAATACAAGCCTCAACGGTGACACTTTTTAAAACCGGAGTTGCATTAGGTGTTTGGTCAGGTATTATCGTCAATGTTATCTTGTCAGCCAACAGAGGTTTGATCAATTCCAGTTCTACGATGCCATTTGGTTGTGCCTGTTGAAATACATAGCCTTCTGAATGTATGAATGTGTCTATTATGGAGTACTATATTGCATTGTATAGTGTCATTTAATGGGTATCTTTACCTTAAATGGTGTAACCTATATACACAGTGCTTAGTATTGACAGACGACTATAGTCTTAATGCAACGTTTCATTACTAAAATATAATTGTAATCAAAGACTAATGTTCATGTCTTTACGAAAAGAATCATAATCCCCGAAACAACGACACTTGTGTACAATGTAACGTAATTTGTAAACATTCTTTGGTTATACTAGAATTTCAGAACTGCTTTTCGTGCGTTTTGTAGTAATTAAATTGAAGTTGTCTTCTTTTTCATTAATACTACAATCAGATGATAATAATAAAATATCATACCTTGATAGTCTCCTCATAAACTAAAACGTTGTCATTATAAAGTTTGATAAGAATACTGTCAACAAATTCTGTTTCTAGAGCAACATTCATTATCGGATTACTGTCACTTGTTGATAACTCTAAAACTGGCTTTTCGTCTTCAGCTGACGGTTTCCATCCTGAAGGTGTTAAAGCGTTTTCAGCACCATCTGGATTCGATGAAGAAGTCACAGTTTCAAAATTTAATGGGCCCTTTGACGTATCGTCTGGACATTTTCCCAAACCTATGAATTCAAAATGCAATAGTATAAATTAGAATACAAGGAAAGTGAAGTCAAAGGATAATGCAGTTTCCTTTCATTCTTCCTTAAAAACTCCTGTATACAGTCAGCCTCATATGATTAAAGATACAAGTCGGCAAAAAGAGCCGCACAGTTGGTTCCTATGGGAATGCCGATTGTTAGTTGAAATACACGTCTTCCAAACGTAGCAATTATGTTGTCAATCAAGACATCAAACATCTCGATAATATCAGTTTCAGAGAATTGCTTGTTTGAATCAGAGTGATTTTTTTACAAAGTACGATTTATTCCTCCCTTAGACAAGACACTTGTACCTATGTTGGCCTTTCTTTCTTATGAACAAAATAGGATCAACTCTTTCAATTTGCCTTTTAGTTTGGAATGGGAAATACTTGTGTAAAGTATAGAAAATGAAAATATCTTAATACTATTTGCAAGACGAAATAGTCTTAGATTGTATGTTCTCTAACAGATCTTTAAACTTTTTTTAGCATCTGTATATGATTCACACCTACTCTCGAATAGGTAGTTTTACAATAAATTTGAAGCCCGGCTTTGGTTGCTGAATAAATTGATGTTAATAATTTAGAAAGAGGTTTTGTGGAGTACTTGGAAGACCCAGTAATATAACTTTGTTTGTAAGGACACTTGAGCAATTTAGGTATTTAATACAGTTAAGGAAGATCACGTTCCGCATCTTTGGTTGAAATTCAAAAGAAACATACAAAAGACCCTATAATTATACAAGACGTCCTCCTTGGTTAGTGGCGTTGGGGTAAATGTTGAGTTTCAAAGTGAAATGTCAATCCCTAGTTCATTTATCAAGCAGTTTATGTAATGTAATTTACACATAAAAACGATGTTCATTGGGGCTTTATCTGCAGGACAACAACGTATTTGTCATGTAGAACAACAACGATAATGAATTTCAGATTTTCTGACTTTAAAAAATACCTGCAGTTGTAGAAGCGGGTCCAGTGGTTACCGACGGTTGAGTTGTTTGAATCAAAGGTGGACTTGTTCCTGGTGCTCCAGCTTGAGTACCTGTAGTTGGGGTTGACGCTGTAGAAGGTGTTCCAGAGGTAATCACTGGAGACGATGTAGGTGTTGTGGCCTGTTGTCCTGTGGTCACAGCTACAGAAAACATTACTATCATCACAGGCTTAATACATTTATTTTAACACATACATAACTGAATAAAATTGTCAATATCATCTATACATTAAGATGTCGATTTTGTCCTCAACTAATGAAGCAAAAATATAATAATCAAGTAAAAGGGAACATATGGGATTGTTTTGCAGTGTTCAAATTCAAGATGACATGAAAGTTCTTTTGTTTGTCATATATATGAAAATAATAGAAAATCAATTTTGTCCGACCGAGCGCTTTTTTCAGTAGCCTTCATCATGAACGCTCAAACCTCAACATATTCAATCCATGTCTACAAGCAATCATAAATTAAGACAAAACATTCATAGTTATATTCAATAAAAAAGGATTTAAAGATAAAATTGTTCATACTCTTTTGTCAATACATATGAATGGATATAATATGGCATATATAAGATTATATGCAATTTAACATATTGGTTATAATTCTATCGGGTTTTACCTAGCAGTTTATCAAATCTAAATGTTAATTTGAATGTAAAGTACAACAAAATTAGTTACCTTTAATACAAGCCTCCACGGTGACACTTTTTACAACCGGAGTTGCATTAGGTGTTTGGTCAGGTACTATCGTCAATGTTATCTTGTCAGCCAACAAAGGTTTGATCAGTTCCAGTTCTACGATTCCATTTGGTTGTGCCTGTTGAAATACAAAGCCTTCTGAATGTATGAATGTGTCTATTATGGAGTACTATATTGCATTGTATAGTGTCATTTAATGGGTATCTTTACCTTAAACGGTGTAACCAACATACACAGTACTTAGTATTGACAGACGACTATAGTCTTAATGCAACTTCCATTACTAAAATATAATTGTAATCAAAGACTAATGTTCATGTCTTTACGAAAAGAATCATAATCCCCTAAACAACGACACTAGAGTACAATGTAACGTTATTTGTAAACATTCTTTGGTTATACTAGAATTTCAGAACTGTTTTTCGTGCGTTTCGTAGTTAATAAGTTGAAGTTGTCTTCTTTTTCATTAATATTACAATCAGATGATAATAATAAAATGTCATACCTTGACAGTCTCCTCATAAACTAAAACGTTGTCATTATAAAGTTTGACAACAATACTGTCAACAAATTCTGTTTCTAGAGCAACATTCATTATCGGATTACTGTCACTTGTTGATAACTCTAAAACTGGCTTTTCGTCTTCAGCTGACGGTTTCCATCCTGAAGGTGTTAAAGCGTTTTCAGCACCATCTGGATTCGATGAAGAAGTCACAGTTTCAAAATTTAATGGGCCCTTTGACGTATCGTCTGGACATTTTCCCAAACCTATAAATTCAAAAAGCAATAGTATAAATTAGAATACAAGGAAAGTGAAGTCAAAGGATAATGGCAGCTTCCTTTCATTCTTCCTTAAAAACTGCTGTTTACAGTCAGCCTCATATGATTAAAGATACAAGTCGGCAAAAAGAGCCGCACAGTTGGTTCCTATGGGAATGCCGATTGTTAGTTGAAATACACGTCTTCCAAACGTAACAATTATGTTGTCAATCAAGACATCAAACATCTCGATAATATCAGTTTCAGAGAATTTCTTGTTTGAATCAGAGTGATTTTTTTACAAAGTACGATTTATCCCTCCCTAAGACAAGACACGTGTACCTATGTTGGCCTTTCTTTCTTAATAACAAAATAGGATCAACCCTTTCAATTTGCCTTTTAGTTTGGAATGGGAAATACTTGTGTAAAGTAAAGAAAATTAAAATATCTTAATACTATTTGCAAGACGAAATAGTCTTAGATTGTGTGTTCTCTAACAGATCTTTAAACCTTTTTTAGCATCTGTATATGATTCACACCTACTCTAGAATAGGTAGTTTTACAATAAATTTGAAGCCTGGCTTTGGTTGCTGAATACATTGATGTTATAATTTAGAAAGAGGTTTTGTGGAGTATTTTGAAGACCCAGTAATATAACGTTGTTTGTAAGGACACTTATTCAATTTAGGTATTTAATACAGTTAAGGAAGATCAAGTTCCGCATCTTTGGTTGAAATTCAAAAGAAACCTACAAAAGACACTATAATTATACAAGACGTCCTCCTTGGTTAGTGTCGTTGGGGTAAATGTTGAGTTTCCAAGTGAAATGTCAATCCCTAGTTCATAAATCAAGCAGTTTATGTAATGTAATTTACACATAAAAACGATGTTCATTGGGGCTTTATCTGCAGGACAACAACGTATTTGTCATGTAGAACAACAACGATAATGAATTTCAGATTTTCTGACTTTAAAAAATACCTGCAGTTGTAGAAGCGGGTCCAGTGGTTACCGACGGTTGAGTTGTTTGAATCAAAGGTGGACTTGTTCCTGGTGCTCCAGCTTGAGTACCTGTAGTTGGAGTTGACGCTGTAGAAGGTGTTCCAGAGGTAATCACTGGAGACGATGTAGGTGTTGTGGCTGGTTGTCCTGTGGTCACAGCTACAGAAAACATCACTATCATCACAGGCTTAGTACATTTATTTTTAACACATTTATAACTGAATAAAATTGTCAATATCATCTATACATTAAGATGTCGATTTTGTCCTCCACTAATGAAGCAAAAATATAATAATCAAGTGAAAGGGAACATATGGGATTGTTTTGCAGTGTTCAATTCAAGATGACATGAAAGTTGTTTTGTTGGTCATATATATGAAAATAACAGAAAATCAGTTTTGTCCGACCTAGCACGTTTTTCAGTAGCCTTCATAATGAACGCTCAAACCTCAACATATTCAATCCATGTCTACAAGCAATCACAAATTAAGACAAAACATTCATAGTTATATTCAATAAAAAAGGATTTAAAGATAAAATTGCTCATACTCTTTTGTCAATACATATGAATGAATATAATATGGCAAATATAAGATTATATGCATTTTAACATATTGGTTATAATTCTATCGGGTTTTACGGAGCAGTTTATCAAATCTAATTGTTAATTTGAATGTACAGTACAACAAATTAAGTTACCTTTAATACAAGCCTCAACGGTGACACTTTTTACAACCGGAGTTGCATTAGGTGTTTGGTCAGGTATTATCGTCAATGTTATCTTGTCAGCCAACTGAGGTTTGATAAATTCCAGTTCTACGATGCCATTTGGTTGTGCCTGTTGAAATACATAGCCTTCTGAATGTATGAATGTGTCTATTATGGAGTACTATATTGCATTGTATAGTGTCATTTAATGGGTATCTTTACCTTAAATGGTGTAACCTATATACACAGTGCTTAGTATTGACAGACGACTATAGTCTTAATGCAACGTTTCATTACTAAAATATAATTGTAATCAAAGACTAATGTTCATGTCTTTACGAAAAGAATCATAATCCCCGAAACAACGACACTAGTGTACAATGTAACGTAATTTGTAAACATTCTTTGGTTATACTAGAATTTCAGAACTGCTTTTCGTGCGTTTCGTAGTTAATAAATTGAAGTTGTCTTCTTTTTCATTAATACTACAATCAGATGATAATAATAAAATATCATACCTTGATTGTCTCCTCATAAACTAAAACGTTGTCATTATAAAGTTTGATAAGAATACTGTCAACAAATTCTGTTTCTAGAGCAACATTCATTATCGGATTACTGTCACTTGTTGATAACTCTAAAACTGGCTTTTCGTCTTCAGCTGACGGTTTCCATCCTGAAGGTGTTAAAGCGTTTTCAGCACCATCTGGATTCGATGAAGAAGTCACAGTTTCAAAATTTAATGGGCCCTTTGACGTATCGTCTGGACATTTTCCCAAACCTATAAATTCAAAATGCAATAGTATAAATTAGAATACAAGGAAAGTGAAGTCAAAGGATAAAGCAGTTTCCTTTCATTCTTCCTTAAAAACTGCTGTATACAGTCAGCCTCATATGATTAAAGATGCAAGTCGGCAAAAAGAGCCGCACGTTGGTTCCTATGGGAATGCCGATTGTTAGTTGAAATACACGTCTTCCAAACGTAACAATTATGTTGTCAATCAAGACATCAAACATCTCGATAATATCAGTTTCAGAGAATTGCTTGTTTGAATCAGAGTGATTTTTTTACAAAGTACGATTTATTCCTCCCTTAGACAAGACACTTGTACCTATGTTGGCCTTTCTTTCTTAATAACAAAATAGGATCAACTCTTTCAATTTGCCTTTTAGTTTGGAATGGGAAATACTTGTGTAAAGTATAGAAAATTAAAATATCTTAATACTATTTGCAAGACGAAATAGTCTTAGATTGTATGTTCTCTAACAGATCTTTAAACTTTTTTTAGCATCTGTATATGATTCACACCTACTCTCGAATAGGTAGTTTTACAATAAATTTGACCCCCGGCTTTGGTTGCTGAATAAATTGATGTTAATAATTTAGAAAGAGGTTTTGTGGAGTACTTGGAAGACCCAGTAATATAACTTTGTTTGTAAGGACACTTGAGCAATTAAGGTATTTAATACAGTTAAGGAAGATCACGTTCCGCATCTTTGGTTGAAATTCAAAAGAAACATACAAAAGACCCTATAATTATACAAGACGTCCTCCTTGGTTAGTGTCGTTGGGGTCAATGTTGAGTTTCCAAGTGAAATGTCAATCCCTAGTGCATTTATCAAACAGTTTATGTAATGTAATTTACACATAAAAACGATGTTCATTGGGGCTTTATCTGCAGGACAACAACGTATTTGTCATGTAGAACAACAACGATAATGAATTTCAGATTTTCTGACTTTAAAAAATACCTGCAGTTGTAGAAGCGGGTCCAGTGGTTACCGACGGTTGAGTTGTTTGAATCAAAGGTGGACTTGTTCCTGGTGCTCCAGCTTGAGTACCTGTAGTTGGGGTTGACGCTGTAGAAGGTGTTCCAGAGGTAATCACTGGAGACGATGTAGGTGTTGTAGCTGGTTGTCCTGTGGTCACAGCTACAGAAAACATCACTATCATCACAGGCTTAGTACATTTATTTTAACACATATATAACTGAATAAAATTGTCAATATCATCTATACATTAAGATGTCGATTTTGTCCTCCACTAATGAAGCAAAAATATAATAATCAAGTAAAAGGGAACATATGGGATTGTTTTGCAGTGTTCAAATTCAAGATGACATGAAAGTTCTTTTGTTGGTCATATATATGAAAATAACAGAAAATCAATTTTGTCCGACCGAGCGCTTTTTTCAGTAGCCTTCATCATGAACGCTCAAACCTCAACATATTCAATCCATGTCTACAAGCAATCACAAATTAAGACAAAACATTCATAGTTATATTCAATAAAAAAGGATTTAAAGATAAAATTGTTCATACTCTTTTGTCAATACATATGAATGGATATAATATGGCATATATAAGATTATATGCATTTTAACATATTGGTTATAATTCTATCGGGTTTTACATAGCAGTTTATCAAATCTAAATGTTAATTTGAATGTAAAGTACAACAAAATTAGTTACCTTTAATACAAGCCTCCACGGTGACACTTTTTACAACCGGAGTTGCATTAGGTGTTTGGTCAGGTACTATCGTCAATGTTATCTTGTCAGCCAACAAAGGTTTGATCAGTTCCAGTTCTACGATGCCATTTGGTTGTGCCTGTTGAAATACAAAGCCTTCTGAATGTATGAATGTGTCTATTATGGAGTACTATATTGCATTGTATAGTGTCATTTAATGGGTATCTTTACCTTAAACGGTGTAACCAACATACACAGTACTTAGTATTGACAGACGACTATAGTCTTAATGCAACGTTTCATTACTAAAATATAATTGTAATCAAAGACTAATGTTCATGTCTTTACGAAAAGAATCATAATCCCCTAAACAACGACACTAGAGTACAATGTAACGTAATTTGTAAACATTCTTTGGTTATACTAGAATTTCAGAACTGTTTTTCGTGCGTTTCGTAGTTAATAAATTGAAGTTGTCTTCTTTTTCATTAATATTACAATCAAATGATAATAATAAAATGTCATACCTTGACAGTCTCCTCATAAACTAAAACGTTGTCATTATAAAGTTTGACAACAATACTGTCAACAAATTCTGTTTCTAGAGCAACATTCATTATCGGATTACTGTCACTTGTTGATAACTCTAAAACTGGCTTTTCGTCTTCAGCTAACGGTTTCCATCCTGAAGGTGTTAAAGCGTTTTCAGCACCATCTGGATTCGATGAAGAAGTCACAGTTTCAAAATTTAATGGGCCCTTTGGCCTATCGTCTGGACATTTTCCCAAACCTATAAATTCAAAAAGCAATAGTATAAATTAGAATACAAGGAAAGTAAAGTCAAAGGATAATGGCAGCTTCCTTTCATTCTTCCTTAAAAACTCCTGTATACAGTCAGCCTCATATGATTAAAGATACAAGTCGGCAAAAAGAGCCGCACAGTTGGTTCATATGGGAATGCCGATTGTTAGTTGAAATACACGTCTTCCAAACGTAACAATTATGTTGTCAATCAAGACATCAAACATCTCGATAATATCAGTTTCAGAGAATTTCTTGTTTGAATCAGAGTGATTTTTTTACAAAGTACGATTTATCCCTTCCTAAGACAAGACACTTGTACCTATGTTGGCCTTTCTTTCTTAATAACAAAATAGGATCAACTCTTTCAATTTGCCTTTTAGTTTGGAATGGGAAATACTTGTGTAAACTAAAGAAAATTAAAATATCTTAATACTATTTGCAAGACGAAATAGTCTTAGATTGTGTGTTCTCTAACAGATCTTTAAACCTTTTTTAGCATCTGTATATGATTCACACCTACTCTTGAATAGGTAGTTTTACAATAAATTTGAAGCCTGGCTTTGGTTGCTGAATACATTGATGTTATAATTTAGAAAGAGGTTTTGTGGAGTATTTTGAAGACCCAGTAATATAACGTTGTTTGTAAGGACACTTATTCAATTTAGGTATTTAATACAGTTAAGGAAGATCAAGTTCCGCATCTTTGGTTGAAATTCAAAAGAAACCTACAAAAGACACTATAATTATACAAGACGTCCTCCTTGGTTAGTGTCGTTGGGGTAAATGTTGAGTTTCCAAGTGAAATGTCAATCCCTAGTTCATAAATCAAGCAGTTTATGTAATGTAATTTACACATAAAAACGATGTTCATTGGGGCTTTATCTGCAGGACAACAACGTATTTGTCATGTAGAACAACAACGATAATGAATTTCAGATATTCTGACTTGAAAAAATACCTGCAGTTGTAGAAGCGGGTCCAGTGGTTACCGACGGTTGAGTTGTTTGAATCAAAGGTGGACTTGTTCCTGGTGCTCCAGCTTGAGTTCCCGTAGTTGGAGTTGACGCTGTAGAAGGTGTTCCAGAGGTAATAACTGGAGACGATGTAGGTGTTGTGGCTGGTTGTCCTGTGGTCACAGCTACAGAAAACATCACTATCATCACAGGCTTAGTACATTTATTTTAACACATATATAACTGAATAAAATTGTCAATATCATCTATACATTAAGATGTCGATTTTGTCCTCCACTAATGAAGCAAAAATATAATAATCAAGTAAAAGGGAACATATGGGATTGTTTTGCAGTGTTCAAATTCAAGATGACATGAAAGTTCTTTTGTTGGTCATATATATGAAAATAACAGAAAATCAATTTTGTCCGACCGAGCGCTTTTTTCAGTAGCCTTCATCATGAACGCTCAAACCTCAACATATTCAATCCATGTCTACAAGCAATCACAAATTAAGACAAAACATTCATAGTTATATTCAATAAAAAAGGATTTAAAGATAAAATTGTTCATACTCTTTTGTCAATACATATGAATGGATATAATATGGCATATATAAGATTATATGCATTTTAACATATTGGTTATAATTCTATCGGGTTTTACATAGCAGTTTATCAAATCTAAATGTTTATTTGAATGTAAAGTACAACAAAATTAGTTACCTTTAATACAAGCCTCCACGGTGACACTTTTTACAACCGGAGTTGCATTAGGTGTTTGGTCAGGTACTATCGTCAATGTTATCTTGTCAGCCAACAAAGGTTTGATCAGTTCCAGTTCTACGATTCCATTTGGTTGTGCCTGTTGAAATACAAAGCCTTGTGAATGTATGAATGTGTCTATTATGGAGTACTATATTGCATTGTATAGTGTCATTTAATGGGTATCTTTACCTTACACGGTGTAACCAACATACACAGTACTTAGTATTGACAGACGACTATAGTCTTAATGCAACGTTTCATTACTAAAATATAATTGTAATCAAAGACTAATGTTCATGTCTTTACGAAAAGAATCATAATCCCCTAAACAACGACACTAGAGTACAATGTAACGTAATTTGTAAACATTCTTTGGTTATACTAGAATTTCAGAACTGTTTTTCGTGCGTTTCGTAGTTAATAAGTTGAAGTTGTCTTCTTTTTCATTAATATTACAATCAGATGATAATAATAAAATGTCATACCTTGACAGTCTCCTCATAAACTAAAACGTTGTCATTATAAAGTTTGACAACAATACTGTCAACAAATTCTGTTTCTAGAGCAACATTCATTATCGGATTACTGTCACTTGTTGATAACTCTAAAACTGGCTTTTCGTCTTCAGCAAACGGTTTCCATCCTGAAGGTGTTAAAGCGTTTTCAGCACCATCTGGATTCGATGAAGAAGTCACAGTTTCAAAATTTAATGGGCCCTTTGGCGTATCGTCTGGACATTTTCCCAAACCTATAAATTCAAAAAGCAATAGTATAAATTAGAATACAAGGAAAGAGAAGTCAAAGGATAATGGCAGCTTCCTTTCATTCTTCCTTAAAAACTCCTGTATACAGTCAGCCTCATATGATTAAAGATACAAGTCGGCAAAAAGAGCCGTACAGTTGGTTCATATGGGAATGCCGATTGTTAGTTGAAATACACGTCTTCCAAACGTAACAATTATGTTGTCAATCAAGACATCAAACATCTCGATAATATCAGTTTCAGAGAATTTCTTGTTTGAATCAGAGTGATTTTTTTACAAAGTACGATTTATCCCTCCCTAAGACAAGACACGTGTACCTATGTTGGCCTTTCTTTCTTAATAACAAAATAGGATCAACTCTTTCAATTTGCCTTTTAGTTTGGAATGGGAAATACTTGTGTAAACTAAAGAAAATTAAAATATCTTAATACTATTTGCAAGACGAAATAGTCTTAGATTGTGTGTTCTCTAACAGATCTTTAAACCTTTTTTAGCATCTGTATATGATTCACACCTACTCTTGAATAGGTAGTTTTACAATAAATTTGAAGCCTGGCTTTGGTTGCTGAATACATTGATGTTATAATTTAGAAAGAGGTTTTGTGGAGTATTTTGAAGACCCAGTAATATAACGTTGTTTGTAAGGACACTTATTCAATTTAGGTATTTAATACAGTTAAGGAAGATCAAGTTCCGCATCTTTTGTTGAAATTCAAAAGAAACCTACAAAAGACACTATAATTATACAAGACGTCCTCCTTGGTTAGTGTCGTTGGGGTAAATGTTGAGTTTCCAAGTGAAATGTCAATCCCTAGTTCATAAATCAAGCAGTTTATGTAATGTAATTTACACATAAAAACGATGTTCATTGGGGCTTTATCTGCAGGACAACAACGTATTTGTCATGTAGAACAACAACGATAATGAATTTCAGATATTCTGACTTTAAAAAATACCTGCAGTTGTAGAAGCGGGTCCAGTGGTTACCGACGGTTGAGTTGTTTGAATCAAAGGTGGACTTGTTCCTGGTGCTCCAGCTTGAGTTCCCGTAGTTGGAGTTGACGCTGTAGAAGGTGTTCCAGAGGTAATAACTGGAGACGATGTAGGTGTTGTGGCTGGTTGTCCTGTGGTCACAGCTACAGAAAACATCACTATCATCACAGGCTTAGTACATTTATTTTAACACATATATAACTGAATAAAATTGTCAATATAATCTATACATTAAGATGTCGATTTTGTCCTCCACTAATGAAGCAAAAATATAATAATCGAGTAAAAGGGAACATATGGGATTGTTTTGCAGTGTTCAAATTCAAGATGACATGAAAGTTCTTTTGTTGGTCATATATATGAAAATAACAGAAAATCAATTTTGTCCGACCGAGCGCTTTTTTCAGTAGCCTTCATCATGAACGCTCAAACCTCAACATATTCAATCCATGTCTACAAGCAATCACAAATTAAGACAAAACATTCATAGTTATATTCAATAAAAAAGGATTTAAAGATAAAATTGTTCATACTCTTTTGTCAATACATATGAATGGATATAATATGGCATATATAAGATTATATGCATTTTAACATATTGGTTATAATTCTATCGGGTTTTACATAGCAGTTTATCAAATCTAAATGTTAATTTGAATGTAAAGTACAACAAAATTAGTTACCTTTAATACAAGCCTCCACGGTGACACTTTTTACAACCGGAGTTGCATTAGGTGTTTGGTCAGGTACTATCGTCAATGTTATCTTGTCAGCCAACAAAGGTTTGATCAGTTCCAGTTCTACGATTCCATTTGGTTGTGCCTGTTGAAATACAAAGCCTTGTGAATGTATGAATGTGCCTATTATGGAGTACTATATTGCATTGTATAGTGTCATTTAATGGGTATCTTTACCTTACACGGTGTAACCAACATACACAGTACTTAGTATTGACAGACAACTATAGTCTTAATGCAACGTTTCATTACTAAAATATAATTGTAATCAAAGACTAATGTTCATGTCTTTACGAAAAGAATCATAATCCCCTAAACAACGACTCTAGAGTACAATGTAACGTAATTTGTAAACATTCTTTGGTTATACTAGAATTTCAGAACTGTTTTTCGTGCGTTTCGTAGTTAATAAGTTGAAGTTGTCTTCTTTTTCATTAATATTACAATCAGATGATAATAATAAAATGTCATACCTTGACAGTCTCCTCATAAACTAAAACGTTGTCATTATAAAGTTTGACAACAATACTGTCAACAAATTCTGTTTCTAGAGCAACATTCATTATCGGATTACTGTCACTTGTTGATAACTCTAAAACTGGCTTTTCGTCTTCAGCAAACGGTTTCCATCCTGAAGGTGTTAAAGCGTTTTCAGCACCATCTGGATTCGATGAAGAAGTCACAGTTTCAAAATTTAATGGGCCCTTTGGCGTATCGTCTGGACATTTTCCCAAACCTATAAATTCA